TGTGTGAGGCCATGATTCCCAATGTGCCCTACAGCTAAAAATGTAAGGTAAGAGCTTGTAAGAAGACACTGCTTTGTCAGCAAGTTGCCATGACAATGCTGCTGTTCCCAGTTTCATTGTTTTTTGTTGTTTCTTTTTTGCCTGTGAAGGTCATGTGACTGAATTGATCCCAATACACAGGGATGCATGGAGCCGGCCTCTGTGTTTCTGAAAGCAGCCGTCTGAGCGTATACATCATCTGTCTTCAGCTGTCAGCCACAGCTGCAGCGCACCACAGCCCCAATCCGTGTGTGCACGCCAACTCTTAATGTCTGCCCTTGTCTTTGGTTACTGAAAAGTGACTGTTCATTGAACTGAGTTGTGTCAAATATATCTAGCAGACCTCCCTCATTCTGTGATAACAAAGTGATCATCGTGACCTTTACAGGCAACACTGTCTCTGTGAAGAGTGCGTTTACAAATCCAAGGTTCTGCGTGCTTCCAGCCATCCATTCCCAGACTTGTTTAGAGGCTGACTGTGCTTTGTAGGCTAATAGCCAGAAGCAGCGCTACATAATTCATTGAAACTAAGTTTCCAGTCAGAGAGCAGAGAGGGATTACAGGCCAGCTGCATACCTCTGCACTTTGCAGCAAACATTCAGAAGAGGAACTGCTTCTTCTGCACATAAATGTAGGCATAAGACGGTCATGACTCTCAGACATTTAACCCTGATCCTTTAGCCCTGAAACGTTTGGTTTTCTCACAAACAAATTTTGCATATTGTAGTTTATTTTTTGAGGCTGACTGATTTCTTTGCAAACGTTGGCTACTCTGCATTCTGCCCCTTGAGTCTTGAGCTTGTAACTGCAGTAGTCTCAGGGGTCTGAGAGGGGGAGAACAGAAGGTCAATGGAGATGTGAGTGGGGGATTGCTGCGCTGCTGATTTCATTTTATTTTTAAGGTTGAATTCCCATTCACAGCAAAGGCTGAGCTGCTTTCAGAGAGGATCACAGGTAAACACAGGTATTCTGTTTCACCATATCCAACTCAGCCATGGCACATGTCGTGTTGCAGTGGTTCATTTGAAGGACTCATTCATCACTGTGGACTGTGAATGAGCCGGTATCCTGGAGCAGAGGCGAGGATGCAGAGGAGAGCTGCTCCCTGAAGGTTACATGGTGTTTGAGATCAGTGCTGAGCCAGCTCCAACACTCAGTTACAAAGAACTATCAGAGCTCCTCTCATCCCCAAACACCTCAGAGCTTTTCATTCCTCCCGTATGTGCGCCGCTCGCCACGCCTGATCACTTTTATTTCTTGTTATTGAGCTTAGCTCTCCTTGCCTGGTCATCTATCACGCACAGGCCTTAAATTGGGCTCAATGATTCGCCATAAAAGCCTCTCACCTCATTGCTCCTTCACTCCTCTCCTTGATACAGTGTTACCTTTCCATCACGTGCAGCTGTAGGTGCTCCATGTGCGCAGGATGCAGAGGGAAATGTCTGACCTTGGATGACTTTAAAGCTGCCAGGTTAGATTAGTGTTTCTATGATGGTCTACCTCTAATAAAGGAAAACATGTGGGAGAAATAATAATAATAATGCATCTTTTTTATATTGTGGTTTTTGAACATGCAAAGATCCTTTACATTGCATTATTATTCACAGCCGACACAATGGTGGTAATCTATTACTGTAGCCGGCCCCTCTGACCATTACCAGTCACACACCAGGCTCATGCTAGTTAAAGTGTTAATCTTGAAGCAGTGTCTTGCTTAAGGCCACAACAACAGTTTACAATTATAATTTTACAGGCTACTTTAAAGTATTCAATTGAAATGTATTCAGGTTACAATATACAACAATATCATAGTTTACATGACTGAATTTTGTTTTACAGCCTTTGGGGTTCATGGTGTAGTATAATGTAGTAATAATTCATGTTTCAAGAGTTGTTAACCATTTCTTAATGTTGTTAATTGTTTTTATTGAACTGTCAATTTCAAGCAAGTGCTGTTGAGTTTGGGGTGTGCCATGTAAATAATTATAGTACTTTCAGAGTTTGTAAGAACATGAGGTACGACATTGTTGTGCGTCTCATACCATTATTTGTGCAGTGTGCAGAGACACTTGAAGCCTATAACATCACCATCCTTCACGTGCTGAAGGTGAAGTCTATTGCGTAATTGTGTAAAGTGAGCTAAGAGCTTGCGGTGTCCATAGGTTCTTCATTGGCATGCGTGCCTCGCTCCACAGCAGCCTGAGTGTGTGTTTGTGGGTGATGAAGCACTGCTGCTGTGTCAGCATATTCCTCATGATGGCCGTGCCCTTCAGCCCAGGCCACAGCCTTTCGATGCCTTTATTCCAAACTCAGTGATCCTACACCAGAGTGGAGCGCTGCCAGGGAGCGGGACACTCGCAGACGCAGGTTTATGACCCACTTCGCCCTCCACCAGACCAATGCTGTTCAAGTGATGGATGGAGAGGCACGTAGATGCTTACACAATCACACAAGAGGGGCCAGAAATATGGCCCGGCTCTCAGGGGCTTGAGAAAAGGGAGAACAGGGGCTAACCAGGAGACCTGGGGTAAATGACTGCTAGTGTGTTGCAAGGTGTTATGCTTGGAGCACACAGGGGTCAGCCATCTGAAAGGTGAGAGGGTGGGAATAACTTTCACACAGCGGTTTATTTGTGTGAAAAATGTATCAATCTTTTCAAAGCTTCTCAGTTTTCTGTACTCATGAAATGTAACATTTTTGCTCTTTGTACATAATTATCAAATTACCAAAAAACGAACACTAAACTCTTACCCTGGTCAGTTGCAACCTCATTGCCCTTTACTTTCTGGAGGAAACGTGTCTCTGATCCACAAAGCCTATTTCTCCTCCTTTGTCTCTGGTCTCCTCATGTGCTTTATCACTGTAAGTCATTCTGCTTCTATACTGTGTGAAATTCCCATAAGGTTTTGTGAGGCTTTTTTCATTATAAGATGGAAATAATAAGATAAACCGCGCTGTGACATTTTCCGATTTTAATTAATTGTTTATCGAGGGCACAGAAAAGCCATGAAAGGAGATGTATTACCTCACAGAGGGGACAGAGAAAGTAAGAGACGCAATGAAAAGGGAAGGACACCTGTTTGGGTGCTTAAAGAGATTCATGCCTCAGTGCTAGATTTATAGGAACATTGGCTCAAAGGTAATATACAGGCCTGTACTTGTGTCTGCAGCTTCATGACTGTATAGACGGCGTACTCAGGAGACGAGGATGGCAATACATGATTGTGAAAAGGAAATATGAAGCCTTCCATTTTATTGTGTATAGCCGTCATTCCCCACGTTGTGGCTCCCCAAAGATCCAGCTCCAAAATACATTACGTGAATTGAACTCATAGTTATCGTTAATTATATAATGTAATGCAAAACATTACATTATATAATTTTACCATTTTATAAATCTTATTTAAGTCTCTCATGTAACATAAAGCTATTCAGGCCACCAGTGTATTAATGGGTCAAAATTAGGCATGTCTAAATTAAAACACAATTATGAAATATGTTTCATATTAGTTGATATAGACCATACTGTGACGAGAAATTGAATTTGAGTTTCTGTTGTGCTGAATAGAAGAGCAGTAGACTTAGATTTCTGTGCTTCAGCTCTGTGTGTTATGTAAGTAGACAAGGAGGTGTTCTGGCCGCTGATGGAGCGGAGATGAGACACTTGGATATGGATGTGGACACAACACACCTGCTGCCTCTGCGCTGGAGACATGTACGAGTGAACAAGCCGCCAGCAGGCTCCGGTGCCAGCGGGGATCCAGCAATGTGACATCTGAGAGATATATAGGGAAACTTGATAACTGAATGTGAGAGAGGCCGTGTTTTGTTTTTTCCTTCAGAAATGAGAACAGCGCTTGGGATAAATGTTAGGTTTGTGTGGAATGAGAATTCTACGCAAGTGACTTTCATTAAAGATTATGGCGGCCGTGCTCTTGGATACAGTCTAACGCCTTTGTGCCTGCAGCGCTGTTCCAGGTGTAATTATAGAAAGTTTGCCTTCTGATTACCGCTGCTAAATGCCTTTGACTTGCGTCTCGACTTCATGTCCACAGGAGCTTTTTCCACTTGTCCAACAGGGGTTATCTAACTTTAATGAGTTTTTCCCTTCCTGTGGCACTGTGCGCTGGACTATGATTGGCTCACCTCTGAGCTGCAAGAGCTGGCCGGAACAGGAACGTGGAGAATGACTTTCCAATTCTGCGCGTGACCTGCAGAGCTTCAGGGCCTCTGTTGCTGAGGTCTCAGAGGAGCCAGCGCTGACCCCAGGGCAGTGTTGGTGCAGGTTGACTGGCTGGACACCGCACCAGAGGAAAGAGCAGATTTGACTTAAACATTCAGACAGAACAGTGTCATTCTCAGAATTAATGAGGCTGTGCAAAAGGTGATGGAGGTCCTTTGCCCCCCTTCTCAGTGCTGCTCTTCAGTTTTCAAAGAAGGTCTTGGATTTGTCTGGAGAAATTAGACTTTAGAAGTGGGAAAATTAGGACACTATGCCTTCCAGTGAAAGCTCTTTTCCAAAAGTCAGAAAAAATAAAAGGCAAGAATTCACATTGCGCAACTCTGAGCAAAGGCAATGAACGACCAAAACTAGGATTGGCAAAATAAGCTGCCCAGACTGGATTTTTTGAATTACCGTAACTTGATCCCATGGTACAAATTATACAAAAAAATATATTTCAATGTTAATTTAGTTCATTTAAATGTATTATGTAAAATTGTACCTTTTGTAGCCAAACATTGTAAAGCCAATGAAGAGAGGAATCTCTGTCTCAGTTCTTTTTCCTAAAGAACTGAGACAGATTGTGATTGCAATCTTTTGAGTGTTGGCACAGCCCTCGTCCTGAATACACATTTTGTTTCAGTTGTTGTTCACAGAATAACTCGAACAAGCATTGTGTATCTAAGAACCTGCTTTATTTTGTTTTATATTTTAAATGTATTATTTATGTCTGTTGCAGCTATCATGTATGTGATGGGGGCCCTTGGACCTGCAGCCGGTTACTTGCTCGGAGGCGTTCTCATCGGCTTCTACGTCGACCCCAAAACGGTCGTCAACATTGACCAGAACGACCCGCGCTTTGTTGGCAACTGGTAAACAAAGGCAGCGTTCAAATCACACTCATGACATCAGTGTTATTCCACCAGTGAGCCGTGGCATGTTAGTGTGCCTTCAGATGTTGTTCGGTGAGCCTTTAGAAAATGATCCACTATCACCTAATTGGGCAAAAGAATGTGAGAAAATTAGACTTTTTTGCACTTGACTTTGCATTGTTAGTAAAGGCTGCAGAATGTCCTTTTAGTATCAGGCTGAGTTTACACGGAGACAATGTGGCAGTAAAACGGTATAGTTGGATGTCGGTTGCTACCAACCGTTCATACGAAGACAGTGTTCCAGGGGGGTGAAAACGTAAGTGTTCAGATCCAGCCTGCAGAGTGGGACAACTACAGCAGGGAGCTTTTTCACACCCGCGAGAGGGGAATAGGTGTGAAATCCCCCTCTGCTCTGACCCCCACCTCCCCGCTGCTCCCCGCACGTAAATTTGGACATGCGCAGTAGCGGAGAACAAACATCAACAATAATGGCGCCGCCCACACAAACTAGCTACGTGGGCTTCCAGCGCGGGACAGAGGATAACTCTACTCCTTCGTTCGTCCAAACGAGACCACGCGAAGCTCTAGGTTCAGTTCCCATGTTCACAGCTGCTGTTAAAATGCAGAATGATGTTGGTACTCTCTGAGGGTCTGGCACAGGAAGTGAGTATACTGCCGAGAGGGGGGCTGGGCACGGGGCTCGGGGTCGTGTGTCGTGTTGTAAAGTTTCTCTGCCCACTACTGGCCGGGCGCTAGAACTACATCGTTTTTCAACCTCATGTGAACGCTGAGAAATTTGCATTAGGAGCCAGGTCGTTTCTGTTAATAGCCTGGAAACGTCTGCGCAGCGTCTCAGTATAAACAGGGCCTCAGTTTCAGCTGATGATGTGCCATGTGATTGTTTTCCACAAAAAGTTGTGCCACGGCTCAAAAAGGTTGGAGAACTCACACCGCGTTACATTCACCACACCAACATACTCTCTTATCTCAAAGGTGGAGCGGCTTCCTGCTTTGTGCCATCGCCATGCTGCTGGTCATCTTCCCCATGTTTGCCTTCCCCAAAAAGCTGCCTCCACGCCACAAGAAGCGGAAGAAGAAAAAGATGAGCTCGTCTGGAGATGTGTCGAGCGACGATGAAATGATGAAGGAGAAATCGAGCACCAAAAGCCAGAACGTGTCCTCCTCCATGGGCTTCGGCAAAGACATCAAAGGTGAGGAGGGGATGACACCTTGGATTCTTGTCTAACAGAGAGGCTCCAGTGTGAAGTCTTGTACCAATATTATTGATTAGGGCTGGGGGATGGTTGTCCACGCTGAAGTCTAATGAAGCAGTTTGCTCACAGCCAACTTTGCTGTTTTTTTTTTGGAACCTAAACCGAGCCAACAGAGCTTTTTCTGAAATGTTATGTGAAACAGACAAAAGGTGAAGCTCTGAAACTCTGTAAAAGATAGAGAACTAATAAAGTCAATAACATAAATTAAGAAAATAACATATATGTAAGGTAGATATACTAGCGTTTATATGATGAGCAGTTGCATATGATGTCATTGGAAAAGGTGAACCGCGATATAACAAGGGACCACATAAGAATGAAAAATGTTTAGGCAAAAATACAGCAAGTTACTGTGTATAGTTATATTCTTATTGTAACATATTCATTGTAACTTGTTAATCAAGTAATCGCACCTAATCAACTATTGAAATAATTTATACACCTGTTCCAGCTGACAAGATTGAAGTTTTATGACTCTGACTGAATTACTACATGGGATTTTTTGTTGATAATTTTTAATCAAACAACCATTTATGTTACACCCGGTCTCAATAAAGATGTTTTTGCGTGGCCATATTTATTAAAAATTGCTTATTTGGTAGAACGAATCAATGAATAACGGCCAAACTAACCTATTATCATAATAATCGTTACTTACAGCCCTGAAGCCTTTACCAAAGATCAATGAAAAGCAATCCGAAACCAAAATCACTGTCCCTGTCAAATGAACAAAACAGAAAAACACAGACCTAATGTTCAGTCAACAACATAGGACTTCCATTTTTCTATTTCATATGTGAGTGCGGAATCCCCGGCCCCTGAGCGTAAGCGTTGGCTCGCTCATGTTTTTCTCTTTTTCCTTCTAAACCGGCTTCACCAGGTCTATCCCGGTTTTCCCTGGGAGAACCCCCTCTCCGTTGTGCTCCAGTATTTCCCAGTCCCCCTCTCTGCTCTCCGCCTGCACGCTGCACCGTTAGATGGCTTCTTGCTCTCCGTCTCTCTCCCCTAAATGAGCTCTCGGGAGAACACAGTCACGTTTCCACACACACACACACAGACCAAGACAGACTGCAGCACAACTAAACACTGAAGCCTTATCATTCTGAGATAACTGCAGTGAATCCCAGCACATGTTTAGTGTAGGCGCCAAGCTAATTATCGCATACTAACAGACAGTAAAGTATATTGAGTGTCTGCTCTTGGCTAGCTGGCTGTTTGTCTTGTCCCAGCAGGTCATATTGTGCACACTGTGACCATTTCTGCATACGAAAGCACTCTACTTTTTCAGATCTGTAATGTATTTCCACTCTCTGCTTGTCCTTCTGTTTGTGTGTGTGTGTGTGTGTGTGTTTATTCATTGTACCAATTCAGCATTTTCTATGAAAGATCTGCTGGATTCAAGTGATGCTTTTTGCCCTTTACATCATAAACGAGCTGAAAAATGCTAACACTTAAAAAGTACAATTATGCACGTCTAAGGGACAGAATTTTGATAACGGCATTTTCCAAACTGCGGTCAACTGAAAACAATTATCAGCACTTTGTGGCCCCAGGAGAGTGAGGAAATAATGAAGTGCAGCCTTGTATTGTACAGTAAGGCGGCAGAAGATTGATTAATTGATGAGACCCGAGACAGCAGGATGGGGATAAAACTATTCTTCTCCTCAGTCTTAAAAAATGGACACAGTTTGCTATTGCTTATGCCAATGTATGGGACGGATCCAACCTTCATTAATTGGTCATTCGTCATTTGCCAATCCTATTATGGCTAAAGTATTTTTTATCTTTCTCCAGAGGGATTACTTGTGCTTGATTTGGAAACCATCTCTATAGAAATTCGATTGTACAGTATCCTCTTTAATTATCTTAGAGTTGGCCAACTTTGTTTAACTTTAGACTGGAAACTCGTATTAAAAAAGTTTAGCATTTATTTTAAGAGGCAAATGTCCAAATTGGAGTGGTACAATACAATGTTTTCCCAGACAGATTACCTCACAGAAATGAAGTAATTAGTATCCATGTTCAGTTTCTACCTTTTGATCCTCTGAAATGCCAACAGATGCCACATTTCTTCGCCTCTTGACAAAACTGGCCAAAGTGGTGCCAAGACAGTGATTGTGGACACGAGACCTGCAGTAAAAAAGCATTATCTCTCTCATAAGTGATTAAAACCTTCTCTGTCCTTATCTGACATGTATAAAGTCTTACAGAATGCACTGAAATAGAAACTAAAACACAGAGGTGGAGAAACTGCCAAGTAGACAAGTCCCCAGACAGACTAATATTTTATGGCTTTTAAGCAGAACGACTCCAACAGACCACACACACACACACACACACACACACAACGAAGAACACACGACTGCTTTGTGTGAAAGTCAAAGTTTTCAAGATAAATTCCGAAAGCTGATTATAAAGTTTGAGTCTGGAGGGTGCAGATAAACTCCTTCTGTTGGCTGCTGTCCATTATGTCTGTCCTCAGATAGTTCAGTCAGGGAAGATAGAGCTGCATCTTTGTGGATAAAAGCAGTGTCTCAACTTACCATAGAAATGTGGGGAATATTTTGACTTTGCTTGGACTCATTTCTTCTGTTAAGGGGGATTTTGAAGTATGATGCAGCACGGCGTTCAGGTGCAGTTTCTCCCCTTTGTCCAGTTGTACTACGACTATTCACTGTACGCTACTACTTCTCTACGATATAAAGAAAGTGCAGTCCGTGTGAATTACAGCTCCCACAGGAACGCACAGATCCCATTCTGTCACTAAACGCCCATAGTCGGCACAAGGCCTTGTCGAGAAAATTACCTTGGATTTTATGCTTTTGTTTGTTAAATATTCAATGACACTTTTTTTTTAAGGCTAGTTACTTTATCACACTTCATCACTTTGTCACATATTCAGTCCAAAATAGGTGGTAGTTACTTCCTTTTATGCTTAACTGTCACAACTGAAACTCTGCAACCAAAGGAAAGTACCTGTAATAAAATCATTCTAATTTTTTCTCTTGTATTCATCAATCTCCCACTTTTATTATTATTTAACCAGGAAATAACCTCTCTCTCCAGCTTAGTCCCAGTAGAAGCTGACGCGACCCTTGCACTGTCTGCAGATGTTCCTTTAACAGAATTGTGGAGCGACTAATCTGATCTTTAGGTCGAGTTCAGATAAATTGCCTCTCCATTTAGCCCCCCAGAAGTAGAAGTGAAGAGCAGAAAGTGGTTCCGTCTTTGCCAGGTTACGCTGATATAGCAGGAGCACATGACCAGGCTCGTATAGGCCGTGTCCTTAAGCCTGTCCTTGATACTCTACAGGACCACTGCGATAGGTCGGATTTGCACCGCTAGCTTTATTTTTGTGCTGTTCATATGCGGTGCACACGTGATGGAGATACCTAAGCTCTTGTTGGTGATCTTTGCTACAGTACATTTACAACGTGATCAAAAGGCCTCGTGTTTCAATAATAAGTAAAGATTTATATCTGTTGTTCGCGCCTGAAGCCGTGCGTGAAACTAGGATAGTTAGCCTGCAGTAATGGGTCACACTCCACTCGTCCGCTTCCACAAATGAAGCTGTCTGCGTGGAAGGCATTTAGGAATCCTGTTCATTTTATAGCAGTGGTATAAATGTGGGTTAGGCTTAATGCAAGATTAATGACATATTTTAAATGTTCCTAATAGCAGCTGTACGCGTTGATATATATACTCTTTTGGAAATAGGAAAGAGACTTGAACACCGAAAGAGAAGATAGCGCTGTGTGTATTGAATAGACTGTGAAAAGTTGGCTGTAGAGCTGTTTCTGGTCTCTGGTCATTGGTCAACTGAAGCCAGGCCGACCAAAATGTGATGTTTTTTTTAATGTAAATTGAGTTAAGAAACTGGGAGAACATGCAAACTCCATTCAGAAAGTGGAAATTAAAAGTATTTATCTGAGAAAACTGCAGTAGAGAGAAAATGTGGAACAAATTAGCCAAATATTTGTGTTATAGATGTAAAAGTTTTTTTCTAGTTGCTTTAGTCGTTTTGTAAAAAGTTAAAGTGGATAAGACAGAGCTTTTGCCACACCCCCTTTTTAGTTTACCAATCAATTGACTGGGGATGTCTTTAATCAAGTATTTATTTAGTCAACTATAGACTAATTTTTTAGGATATATAATGTTACGATAATAATAATTAGCAAAAATATATTTCCAGGTTCCAGGTACACCCTATCATTTCAATCAAGTTCAGTTATCGATTTGGTTCTGATAAATGCTGTTTTTTCTGTTTGTACATGCAGACCTCCCAAAAGCAGCGCTGAAGATTTTGGGCAACATGACGTTCCTCTTTGTCAGCTTGTCCTACACGGCTGAGTGCGCCATCGTCACCGCCTTCATCACCTTCATCCCAAAATTCATCGAGTCTCAGTTTGGAATCCCCGCCTCAAACGCCAGCATATACACAGGTAAGGCGCCCGGACACCCACACACCGGTATGTCCACTCTAATCTTTATTATAGACTGTAATTACTTTTTTGATTATTTGAGCCGTTGTCTTCTTTTCCATCTTCTCACAAAAACGTAGATGTTTTGAATCTTGGCTGATGAGTCAGAGTGCTGCGTTTCTTTCATTCAGTAATAATTGCCTCTGCCTGCTCTAACTCAGCGGTCTCCTTTTGAATGGCAGAGAGAGACAGTTGTACACGACCACATACTGTACGGACAGCCTGTAATCCCAGAGTCTCAGCCACTGGTTTCAATACTAATCTGCCATCAGGATTAATGCAGCGAGGAGGGATTGAAAACTCTGTTATGGCCTTGGAGGGTTTCCTGTGTGTTGTGTCCAAGTATTCTGCTCGCTAACATATGGTGATTTCACATAAACACTTGCACAATAGCATTGCCTCATCTCATCTGCTGTTGCCAGGAGACATGGGTAAGGGCAAACGGGTGGTGCAGTTACCATGGAGACTGGGGGATGCCAGGCTGTTGGGATGAGGTGATGGAGTAGGGGGAGGTGGGGTTTGTTGTTGTTGCTGGGAGCGCACTGGCTCCCCATGAAAGACAGATGGACAGACCCACTGTGACGTTTCCATCATGAACTGAGTGGACCACATTTCAGTGTGTTGTTATTTTCAGCAATGATATAAAACTGAAAACATAAAGTCATACTTAGTTTGCTAGCTTATAATCATGATTTTTACCTAAAACATTAAAAGGAAATACAATTATTCAATTAAAGATAGTTCTGCTACCGTAGTGCTTAATCTGAAGTTGTTCTCATTCACTACAATTACAATACTGATACTCCACCAAATCTAATCCAATCCAGAATCTGTATTTTTGTCACAAATTACTGATTCACAAATTACTACCTGTTTTAAAATATACTATAGCTTATTCCATTGAATAGTCCAAGAAGAGTCCTGTACTCTGAATCCTATGGCCATTTGCGTCATGTCATAGTGTTGCATTGCAGTGTTTTGTTAGAAAAGGATAAATACACTTGCAAGAATCTCTAAAAGCATTTGTATAAATACTGAAATATATTCCCTTATATTCTGAACACCACCAAAAACAAGTCACTCCCCAACAGTGAACATCCTGACTGAATGGGATCAGCAGATTAGAGGCGATGCCCACTCCTGTGTGTTTGCTGTACACAGTAAGTGTTTGAAATCAGTTTTATCCATAGTGCCTAATGAGCACACATGTCAGAGGGAAGTAAATGGCCTTCTGTGTCTGATCATGGTGGGCTCTCTGTGATTCTCGCTCATTAGGGGGAGCAGCAGAAATAGCTGTAACATCTCTCCACCTCCCCGAGCCTCCCTCGGCTGCTGCAGTCCCCTGGCCGCTGCACACAGGGCCGGCCTCTGTGGTGCCTCACAGTCTTATCTGAGCAATGCCCACTTCCCATCATTATTTTTATACTTCCTCAGAGCTGCCACGGCGCCTGCATTGTACAACAGAGGAATTATGTCTTTGTCGTTACTTTCTTAAACCAATCTAATCGTATAAACACACATTGATAAGCCGATTCGCAATATATCAACACTATTAAGAATGTCGCTTTGATGATATGCAAATTTTTAATCCAAAAAGCTGATTTAGAATCTAAACAACGTAATATTTGCTGAAGACAGATGGATCCGAAACATACAATCATTGACATTGCACTGCCGCACGTCCGTAACAAAAAAACAAAAATCCAATGGGAAATGCTTGGTGAAAGTGGGTTGAATTACAAGGCATTAAAATATGAAACCATTAACAGGGCAAAGACCAGCTTACTGTATGCTGCTGTGATATAATATGTTCTTTTGCTGGCGGTGAGAGCAAAGGTTTAGAACATACTGTATCATTCAGAGAAAAGATCATTTTACAGCCGTGAGTTGGAGCACTTACTGCCACCAGTGTTGCAGACATTGTTTAGACACGCTCCTAAGACGGAAGAAGATGAGCCCTCTTCAGTCCTCTCCGTCCAAAGGCTTGTGCTGAGCCAGGATGACACCGAGCGGCCGCACCGTCCTGCCAACAGCCGGTGGACATTAAGCCGGCCGGACACATGGCACGTGACGCGTACAGAGCCTCAGACTTTGTACGAATTAGTCACATTGCTCTCGCCCACAGCACTGCCTGACCACAATCAACTTATTTCTGTTTCTTGTTAGATTTTGCTCTTTGCAGCGAGCTCGCCAGGATGTCACAAGACAACGTGCGATTCTTGTGACTGTTCAGTATTTTACACTTCTCTTCACTTTATGGCAGACTCATTCAGCGTTGACAACCGTTTCTTCGCATTTCTCCTCCTTTTTCACAGGCCTCATTATTGTACCCAGCGCTGGAGTGGGTATAGTTCTGGGGGGATACATCATAAAGAAGTTAAAGCTGGGAGCGCGAGAGTCGGCAAAGTTAGCCATGATCTGCAGCGGCGTGTCTCTGCTCTGCTTTTCCACTCTCTTCATCGTGGGCTGTGACAGCATCAACTTGGGCGGCATCAACATCCCCTACACCACTGGGTAAGGACACGGCGCGCTGAGTGACGACAGTGCGGCAGGAGATGAAGCCGTAGTGTGTGTGTGTGTGTGTGTGTGTGTGTGTGTGTGTGTGTGTGCCTCATCTCTGGAATGTTACACTCCATTATTTTCACCAACGCTATATTTTTGCTGACTCCAACATTTACAGCAAAGCCTAAATAAAAGGAACAAGTGGAGTCGTGAGTCCCAAATCATACCATAAACAAACCCAAGAATGCGTCTGTAAATGTCCGATGAAGCCATCACATTCTACGACACTTAAAACAAAACTCTCCAGCGACTGTCTGCTCTTTCCCAGAAAACTTGAAAACTATATTTGACCTGCTGTACAAGGGGGAGACGGTACAGATGTCAGTCAGTGTTGGGGCATTTTCAAACTAAAATAAGGAAACATGGTCGTCATTATAGGTTATGTATCCCATGAGGATAGTTTTTTTCAAAATACCAGCATAATGTAAAAAAAGTAAATACATAAATAACGACAGACGCACAAGATATAAACAAACTTACTTAACAAAAATGCTGTATCTTGGTGTATGTTCATATTCTTTTCTTCTTTAAAAAAAAAAAAAACTCATTAATATAAAGGCATTAAGGAATAACTTAAATCTGCTACATTAGCAGTTGCTGCACACACGCCGCTTTGAAATCACACACCAGTCAAACTTTGCAAAAATTGGCATCGGCCACAGAAAACTCACATCGATCGATCTGCAGTTCTTGGCATAAACATTCTCTGACCAAACAGAGGATATTTTCCAACATTGTCATATCTGTTGGTGATTGTGAAATCCTCTGTGGCACTGGGGGAGCATGTCCGTGCTGGTGTCACCGCTCACATCCTCCTCATGTGTCGTGGCGTTGTGATGGAGCGAGAATGATTAATTAACAGCCCTCGCATCTGCTCTCCAGGCTCCGCTGATTCACTCTCCCACCTCTATTTCTGCTGCTCACATCCACACCACTGGAGCAGTCGCTTTAACACTTATTCACACACAAACACACAAGGCATCTTCTGCACACGCTGACGATGACAACACTCTTAGACACACAAACACGTCTGCTCTGGGGCCGTGCCCTCGCAGCCTTCTTCTGACACGTTTAACACTGCACCTGCGACGCACTTTGTTCTATGTTTGTGGATAGAGCAGAGCGCACCTGTCGACTCTTATTCTATCTCAAGAATCAGGAGATTTCACACTGTAGATGAGAGCTGGGAATCTGTCAGAGCCTGTAGAATACAACAACAATACAATACAACATGCACATTTAGGCGTTTAAGGATTTTCTCCACAATGATCTACCCACTTAAAATATACAATTGGTGCATTTATTTGATATCCTAAAACATTTTTAAAAAGCTTAATATTACTAAATTTAAACATCAATTTTGTTTATAATTAAGTACATTGTATGTAATTTAGAGAAAAATCTAAATTTATCTAAAAATCTAAATTGGCCCTATATTTGGTCAGCCTGTTCACACTTAACACCCTTTGGCAAAAAGATTACTCCGAGAGGCAGGTTAAATGGTTCAACACACCCACCCTCATCTCTCAGTGTGTAGAGAAGAGGTGACCCAGGGGATTTGGGACCAAAACACATGTTTCTGCTCAGTGAGAATGAGAGATCTTCTCTACAGCCAATACTATAAACATGTTTTTCATTGCAGAACAATTGTTGATTCACATCATTCTTTCAGTAGATGCTGTGGGATTTTTAGAGTCATTATTTTTTAATATTGAATATAATTTGAATACAATTTCCTACATCTGATTTTGTGACATGATGAAATGAATGTAGAGTCATCGCATTAAACTGTGAATAAATACCAAATGATGCGAGCGGTAACACTCCCACCACTCCGTGAGCACACACAGTTAACCAGGATGATTATTTGCCAAATATTTGCGGCAGCAGTTTGGGGCCCGGAGCTGACCCATTAATAAGTGCTGCCTTTGTTGCGGCCGCTGTTTCCAAAGGGGTCAGCAGGATTGTGTGACCAGCAGGACCACTCATTATGATGGACCCCGCTCACTGTTAGCACCCACATGAGGAATGCCAGGGCCAGCCCAGTCAGTCCGGCAGTCTGCAGCTTATAGCCACAAATGAAAATCCAGCGGCTTTTGATATTTCCCCAGTTATGTAAGAGAACTGCAGTAGCGTCGCTACTGTAGCTTCAGAATTGGGCAGATAGACAAATGGCAGCATGTATGTGAACCTAGATTGCTAACAGACCTGTGCAATAGTGATGTCGGGATTACAGCCCTATGTTCTAATGCAGTAAACTCGATTAGGCTGTGTGTCCTTGGAGCTGTGTTGGAGCTCTTAAGCGCTTCATGCTAACATCTGGAGGGTTCAAAACAGGCGGCAATACATCAAGGAAAAGTCTAATCTGTGCAATGAGGCAGCAACTCCCAACAAGACACCTGCCATTTCCAACATGCTCCTACGCAGTCTGCTCCCAGGCGACTGCAGGAACGGCCAAACCTCAGAACCACGACTGTAGTTTCATCCTGTTAGCGTGGCGTTGTGTGATGTTTGGTCGCCGCCATTCTTTCCGCAGAGATTTCCAGATAAAACGCTGGTTTCGCTTCAACGCCTCTGCCTCAGACCAGGCTAAAGTCCTGTTTGACTAGGAGGCCTGGTTCCCACACACTGCACCCCTGGGACCCGCCACTGCCCGCGGGACGGCTCTCCTGCGCCTGATTACTGCCTCATTAGAGGGATTTTGTTCTGGGGATTATTAGAATGTCAAGATAAGACCTCTAAATGAGTGGAAAATGTATATTAGCTGGACATCAAAGGGAAATTGCAAGTGGCATTGGACCCTAGATTCATCAATGACGGTCTAACTTTTTCCTCAGAAATAATACATGTTTGTCCCAACAGAAAGAGTCTTGTAGAAGTAAAAGGGCGTGAATCTTTAATTAAAAAGCATGCACTATGACGATAATCAGCAGAGTCATAGTTACAGTAAGTCATATTTAGTCACCTTGAACTCTCTACAGCTAAAACTTATGTTATACAAAATTTGCACAGTCAATTAGCAGACGATAGATATTGAGGCTCAAAATTGAGGCTCATAACTTATTCCTCAGTTATTGAACGATGAGTTGATATAGTAATTATGGTGACAGGCCTTCACTATTTGATGCTTTAGGCTGAAAGCTGCGTGAGGGTGGTCCTCTCGTGTTCACTCTCTGAAAAGATCTAAAGTACATCCACATGAAGAACAATAGAACCAAATTGTTTTTGGAGTAAGGAAGGAGTTAAATAGATTTTATGATATTGTTCCTTGTTCTGTGGTTTGAAAGTTGTGTACCCCAGCTTTAAGAGTCATTCATTTGTAATGGTGATAAAAGGGTAGACAGTGATAAAAAAAGGGTACACGCAAAAAGTACACGCGTTCTGGTCGCCTTTTCACAAACATGGTAAAATTCAGTTTGCCACAGAAGGTCACATTCTGGCTTTAAAAACTCCAATCATTTCGGATAAAGTCACATTGCAAGTGATCGTTGGTTTTGATGTTTCGCAGTCTGAAATCGGCCTTTGTGTTTTTCTCCAGGCCTACGCTGACACTGACCCACAGGAACCTGACGGGCAGCTGCAACGTGAACTGCGGCTGTAGAATCCACGAGTACGCTCCGGTGTGCGGCTCTGACGGCATCACCTACTTCAACCCGTGTCTGGCAGGATGCAGCACCGTGGGCAACGACAGCACCGGGGTGAGCCTGAACGCACCGCCCCCTCCTGTCTTATCGTGTGGAATAAATCATCTCCACAAATAAAGGCCTTTGTGTGGCGGACAGAGCAGAGAGAGATACAGGGTTCGGCTTCAGTCTGCTGGAGTCACATGCCACATATGAAATGTGGCAAATCCCACAGCATCTACTGTCCAATCCTCATAAAGGTGCAGGAAGTCTGAGGCCGTGCAGTAATGTTGTACACGTTTTGGTGATACAAGGACAGGAAATGTTGAGATTGTCTTTCAGAGCCACTGAGTCCTGAGACATTCTTCAAATTTGTAGTTCAGCAAAAGGTTAAAGGTCCCGTATTTTGCTCTTCTTCATTTATCACAGTGCATCCTAAGCACATGATAGTAATGTGATAATAATGTGATAATAATGTGGCTGATAAAACACACAACACTCAAACCTTTTGACTGTGAGCCCTAACTTGTTTACCTCCAAAGCTAACTGTTCAGCTTCCGCCGCTACAAAGTCATTTCCGACCTGAGAATGAACTGTTTCCAACAATGGCGATCCGTCATAAATGTGTTTTCATCCAAACTAAAGCAACGCTGCTGTTGTGTGTTTGCAGATGAGGAACTACACAGACTGCGGCTGTGTGCAGAGCCGCCAGGTCATCACGCCATCGTCCGGGGGACAGGCCAACCAGCTCAACCAGCTGCAGCTCGTCATAGTGAAGACCTACCTGAATGAGAACGGTTACGCCTTGTCCGGCAAATGTGACCGCACCTGCAACACGCTCATCCCCTTCCTCATCTTCCTCTTCATCGTCACTCTGATCACCGCCTGTGCCCAGCCCTCCGCCATCATCGTCACTCTCAGGTGAGCAGCGTCCCAGAGCTCTGAGCGAGTGCTGTGTCCAGTGGAGAAAACCCTGTGTGTGCTCTGTGCAGGTCTGTGGATGAACAGGAGCGGCCTTTCGCTTTAGGGATGCAGTTTGTGCTTCTGCGAACTCTTGGTAAGTCTGACTCTGTGCCCTCTTCACATTCTGCACCACGCTCTTCCTACTTCACACTGTTTGAGACTGTAGGCTTTGTTTTGTTCCATTTTAAACAATCTTCATTCACTAAAACTAGACAGGATAAGGAACATGGTGCACGTGTGTGTTCCTCACGTTTCGTTTTCAGCCTGTTCTGGGAGCTCTGCCTCTCGGCACATAACCTGCTGGGCAGGAATGCAAACAACCTCGCTGTAGTCTTCTTTGGAAGAGTGCTCTGCTCTGACATGATCCTCTTGGTCCTGTGTGAACATTTACAGTGCCTTGCGAAAGTATTCGGCCCCCTTGAACCTTTCAACATTTCGCCACATTTTAGGCTTCAAACATAAAGATATAAAAATTAAATTTTTTGTCAAGAATCAACAACAAGTGGGACACAATTGGGAAGTGGAACGAAATTTATTGGATAATTTAAACTTTTTTAACAAATAAAAAACTGAAAAGTGGGGCGTGCAATATTATTCGGCCCCCTTGCGCTAATACTTTGTAGCGCCACCTTTTGCTGCAATTACAGCTGCAAGTCGCTTGGGGTATGTCTCTATCAGTTTTGCACATCAAGAGACTGGAATTCTTGCCCATTCTTCCTTGCAAAACAGCTCGAGCACAGTGAGGTTGGATGGAGAGCGTTTGTGAACAGCAGTCTGCAGCTCTTTCCACAGATTCTCGATTGGATTCAAGTCTGGACTTTGACTTGGCCATTCTAACACCTGGATACGTCTATTTGTGAACCATTCCATTGTAGATTTGGCTTTATGTTTTGGATCATTGTCCTGTTGGAAGATAAATCTCCGTCCCAGTCTCAGGTCTTTTGCAGACTCCAACAGGTTTTCTTCCAGAATGGTCCTGTATTTGGCTGCATCCATCTTCCCATCAATTTTAGCCATCTTCCCTGTCCCTGCTGAAGAAAAGCAGGCCCAAACCATGATGCTGCCACCACCATGTTTGACAGTGGGGATGGTGTGTTCAGGGTGATGAGCTGTGTTGCTTTTACGCCAAACATATCGTTGTGGCCAAAAAGTTCAATTTTGGTTTCATCTGACCAGAGCACCTTCTTCCACATGTTTGGTGTGTCTCCCAGGTGGCTTGTGGCAAACTTTAAACAAAACTTTTTATGGATATCTTTGAGAAAAGGCTTTCTTCTTGCCACTCTTCCATAAAGGCCAGATTTGTGCAGTGCACGACTGATTGTTGTCCTATGGACAGACTCTCCCACCTCAGCTGTAGTTATCTGCAGTTCATCCAGAGTGATCATGGGTCTCTTGGCTGCATCTCTGATCAGTCTTCTCCTTGTTTGAGATGAAAGTTTGGAGGGACGGCCGGGTCTTGGTAGATTTGCAGTGGTCTGATACTCCTTCCATTTCAATATAATTGCTTGCACAGTGCTCCTTGAGATGTTTAAAGCTTGGGAAATCTTTTTGTATCCAAATCCGGCTTTAAACTTCTCCACAACAGTATCTCGGACCTGCCTGGTGTGTTCCTTTGTCTTCATGGTTCTCTCTGCGCTTTAAACAGAACCCTGAGACTATCAAAGAGCAGGTGCATTTATACAGAGACTTGATTACACACAGGTGCATTCTATTTATCATCATCAGTCATTTAGGACAACATTGGATCATTCAAAGATCCTCACTGAACTTCTGGACTGAGTTTGCTGCACTGAAAGTAAAGGGGCCGAATAATATTGCACGCCCCACTTTTCAGTTTTTTATTTGTTAAAAAAGTTTAAATTATCCAATAAATTTCGTTCCACTTCACGATTGTGTCCCACTTGTTGTTGATTCATGACAAAAAAAAATATGTTTTATATCTTTATGTTTGAAGCCTAAAATGTGGCGAAATGTTGAAAGGTTCAAGGGGGCCGATTACTTTCGCAAGGCACTGTATGTCTCACACTGTTGTGAACCTGGAAGTTGGCCATCGATAGGTTTACACTTCAGAACACAAACAGATACTAAAGGATGTTTGATTCAGCACATGCTGTACTTTGTTTGGCTGGTTCAAAAGTGTGCAAACATCATATCTGACGTAATGAAACATGTTCCAGGTACAACTTTACTCTCAAAGCATCTTTGGAAAAGAAAAACATTAATGTGATAAGGAACATGATGCTATAATAATATATATATATAAAATGTTTTGTTGTTATGATGTCCATGTAAGAGTCTTTTCTCCTGTCGCAGCCTATATCCCGACACCCATCTACTTTGGGGCAGTGATCGACACCACGTGTATGCTGTGGCAGCAGGACTGTGGCGTGCACGGCTCATGCTGGGAGTATGACGTCACCTCTTTCCGCTTTGTGTACTTCGGCCTGGCTGCAAGCCTCAAGTTTGTTGGCTTCATCTTCATCTTCCTCACGTGGTACTCCATAAAGCACAAGGAGGAACGGGCCGAGCGCTGGCGCCAACACCTCCCTCCTCTGGGCACCGTGAGTGAACTGATCTGCCACGCTGGGGGCCACAAGAGCCACGCACGCACACGCTCCTGCCCCGTCTTCATCCCGCCTCGGCCTGAGCCACCAGCTGCTCTGCTGCTGAACCGCGGCCACAGCAGCCTCAGCTGCCCCGGCAACCCCATCAAAGCAATAACCCCGCCCATCTTCTTGCCCCATCACCACAGAGGCTCCGCCCACGTGTGAAAGTCTGTGACTGTGCCTTCATCTACTCTGATCAGGCACCAGGGGGCGCTCCTCTCACGCCCTCATGACTATTATAAGGGCTGTCCATTAGAACTGAGAGCATATCATCAGCGACATCACAACAGGAGGCGGACACACTCCAGGTGCTACGGTTCAAAGGCAGGGCATTACTCTGTACAGGCCTCATCCCACTGCGTCCAAAGCACAATCTGTACTATGCAAACCCTGCGTACGGCTCCTGACCGCGTGGACATGTGTCGCTCATGAGTACAGTCCACCTTTGAACACCACATCACTCTTCTTAGTCTGATCCTCACTTTCTACATTACTTTTGTATTCTTTTCGTAACAGTGCCTCAGGCTGTCTGGGCCAGTTCAGTCGTGTGCTAGAGCCGGGTTCAGAGCCGGGTTCAGAGCCGGGTTCAGAGCCGTGTTCAGCGCCGGGTTCAGAGCCGGGCTCAGAGCCGGGTTCAGGGCCAGGCTCAGGGCCAGGTTCAGAGCCGGGTTCAGAGCCTGCACAGGAGCCAGTCACTGTCTTCTCAGCTGAGAGACAGTTTTTGCTTTGTTGCCCTGGGCTTTTGTTTGGAGTATATTTGCCTTGACATGTATGTAGCTTAACACCGTGAAGCCGTAGTGGTACCATGAGAAATGGAATCTCACCATTTTAGACATTTAGTCACAAAAACAAGGTTTAAGTTCCTCATCTCTGACCATGTGCTGAAGCTACTGTCAACAACATGGGATCTCACTTGAAACAGAAAAAGGCCCTCATATCAGTGGAACTGTTGCATTCTTTTGACATTGTATTGTGTTTTAATCACAACAATGGTCTTGAGGTGTATATAGTAGTTCTCATGTAGTTTAGGCTTTAAAGTGCTACAAGCATGTAAACAAGGAAACCCTGTAAACAGCAAACCAGTACTGTTGTCCGTTCATGGGCAGGTGGGGCCCCCTAGTGGACACAGACGTGATTGTGTGAAGGCAGGTGAATGTTGCTGTTGTCAAGACCTACTGTAACTTCAAAAATATGTACTAAGTTATCACTGCACTAAATTTAGCACTCCAAAGACTGCGTTAAAGATGCCATTTATTTATTTCTTGGCCTGGGGAGTGTTTGAGTTCGCCTTGACAACAAGGCTGTACGTTGTGTTATTGTAACTGTTCATTTGATTCCATGGCTCATATTCTATCCAGTGCATCGTTTATTAAAAGGAGTGTTACCTTAATAGTATTATCTTTGAGAAGTGACTTTGAGGAAAGTTCTGATAAAAGTTAAGATTTGTGTTTAGAGTAAAACCAATGCAGTGATAATTTACATTTACATTTCCAACACCATATTTTACCAGCCGTGTAACCAAGTGTTTCTAATGGCATTGGTTGATATTATTGTGATCTCAGTACCTCAACAGTATATTCATGTGATTATTGTACATACTGATAATGAGACATACAGTATTTCAAAGCTCACATAGGTAGACGCATATTTATGAACTAATCCATCACATTGTAGAAGGAAATGACCTATAATATATAAATATATATTTAAAAAAACGAAAAAAAAAAAGTCTTGTGCCTGAACAGTATTCAAACTGGGGTTAAGGGTCAGGGACATAATGTATTTTTTCTGTCCAAAGACAATATGACACAGGACCTGCATCTGGAATGATTCTCTACTCCTTTTGTCTATGACATCACAAGGAACGTTCTGCCCAAGACATAAAACTCTACGAGCAGAGACTTAAGCAGCGACAGGCCTAAAGAGCATTCTTCTTTCATCAGATCATATGCTATAATTAAACTGGTTTATAGGGGTAGAGAATCTGTCCATGGAGAGGGCTGGGTACATTTTTGGAGAGTACCAAAACTACAATTAGACCTGGTTCTTAGTCAGGTTTGTGAATTAACGTCTAAGGTCTCCAATTCCATTCAATAGTTGTCAGCATTTATTACCAACGTGACATTCTATTTGGTGACCGTTTTTGGGTCCAGTATTTTTTTTCTCCCAGGAAATTGTTCCCAGCCCTACTCCCAGCTCATGTAGAACATTTATACGGTCAGATAACTGCACACTCTTCAAACGCCTGAACTGCTCCAAGCCTCTCAACATTTCCCAGTGTTCCGAGTTTGGGATGAAACCGTGAATTCCATGGACTCAAGCTGTAATCTGAAAGTCAAGATTTTAATGCTTCATGTTCCTCAGGAGCAGAAACCGAATTGATGTTTGTGAACGTTTGGTTTACAAATGCCTTGAATACTTGATATTTGTCATTAAATGAAAACAACCCAAACCGTAGTCTATTTTTCATTCAACAGTAACACATTCACTTCTGGTATAAATAATTAAAACGCCTTAATGTAGCGCCTTTTAAAACACTCACAGCTTTACACCACATTAATTATTTACTCCATGAATACAGTTTTTCACCTGAAGGCCACAATTACAAACATGAAGGGGGAAGTGGACCAGTGTGTGAATGAAGAGACGGGGCAGTTAAGAGGTTGCAAGAGTTTATTTCAGCTTCATGGCTTTTGAACACAAGTTTACGTACAGCTTACTGTATATGTTTCTGTAAAGCCACTTAACCAGATGGCACATGTGTAGGCGCACCATAAAATACATAGCTTATCGAAACAAAAGTCAAATGTTGGTTTTATATACAACTGCATCAGCACTGTCATAGACTAAATTCAACATATTTGCATTTTAAATGAATAGTCCCTTTGCAACACTACACTGGATTATCAAGCACTACAGAGCTCAGAGATTAATCCGGTGACATTTCCAAAAAGGTTACATAACAAACCTCCCCATGTGACCCGCCCAGGCAGCTTCAAATGTAACAGCATTGGCTAAAACCGATGGTCAATACTGATACACGACATCCTGCTGTGACTGACTGTGTGCAAACTCTGCAAATCCAACTGGTGCAAGTGATCGTGATGGAGAAATAGTGCTCAAAGTTAAACTACATTACTGTGATATTACAGATATACAACCTATAGAACTTGATTGTCCAAGGTTATGACATCACAAAGGAAATACTATCTCATGATTATTAAATTAAAAATAAAATATGTATTCTGTAACCTCTTTAGAAATGTCTCCAATGTGTTGTAACTTTTAAAAAGTAGTCAGTAGAAATAAAATATTTCATAAAATCTGAATTTACACTGGACAATATGTCAAAGACACAAACTGGCGTTTGTGTTTTAAAGTGCATTTGGGGCGATGTTACGTGAAGCCACCAGAGAGTGGTCATCTGTAACTGAGGACTGGACCGTCCCACTGGACCGTCCCACTGGACCGTCCCACTGGACCGTCCCACTGGACCGTCCCACTGGACCGTCCCACTGGACCGTCCCACTGGAGTCTTCTGATGTCAAAGGTCCCACCACTCACACACATTAAGCATCAAAAGGTGTTTTCCTCTCATCCCAATACTCGCTTTAGCTGCATTAAGGCTTTCTTTTCTAAAGATATAATTGAAAACATAACACTGTTTTACTAATATGCAGGCACCTGTAAAAAAATAAACAATAACTTTGATACTTAATATACAACTCTTATCAAGGTGGCATCGCTCGCCTTTGGCAAGGTCATCTCCTGGTCACTGTCTCTATGGTGACAACTGGCTCATTAGCTGCTCGCCACAGGCTCCTCCCTCCAGAGGCTCTGATTGGAGGGTTGTGGAGAAAAACCACTGCCCTCAAAGTCCACAGTGAGAATGGCCACGGCAGCATGCAGCTCACTGGACTGTCCAGAGGAGGCGCCGTCCTCTACTGCAGGCCATTCAGACTGTGGGGAGGGGACAGTGTCCCTCACTACAGCCCGAGCCGAGGGGACAGTGTCCCTCAATAAACTCTGAGCAGAGGGGGCAGCAGAGGGGGCAGCAGAGGGGACAGCAGAGGGGACAGCAGAGGGGACAGCAGAGGGGACAGCAGAGGGGCCAGCAGAGGGGACAGCAGAGGGGACAGCAGAGGGGACAGTGTCCACTACACTCTGAGGGGAGAGGGGCAGGTATCCTTGGGCCTGATAGAGGTCCTCGTCCAGGTGCAGCACTCGGGGCTGTAACTCCAGACTGTTGTGTGTTCGCAGCAGGAGGTCGTGTCTGGTCTCTAACTCAGTCAGTCCATTTCCGCTGAAGTCCTCCTCTCGCTCCATGTCCTCCAGCTGCACCCAGACGGGGGCGCTGTGCACACCGGCTGACCTCCCAGGAGGAGAGTTGCGCCTGCGCTCTGGCAGCTCATTCACCTGAGTCCCCACTGAGCCCTCCTGCAGAGGGGCAGGGCTCTGTGCAGCTGCAGCAGTCCTTTGGGTGATGGTCGGTGTCTGGACCTCTGTGATAAATCCAGGCCAGAGATCTCCACTGCCCTCATCCAGTCCTCCCCCGGCCCCGGAGCCCAGCTCTGGCAGGTTGGAGTCGTCAAGAGTTTGGGTTTGGTTGTGTTTCTTTAAATCAAGTAACAGTGCAAACATATAGTCTACTTCCTTCTCATAGTTGTCCCAGTTGTCCGGACTGAGGCTGTAGTCAGGCCTGGGTTCATATAGGCTGTCGTTAATGCTGTAAAGATCCTCCAGTCCCTGCCAGTTCACCTCCTCGTCCGTCAGGTTGGGGAGCTTAACCCTGTCGTCCGTCCCATAAGGGTTGTGTTCTGCAAAGACAGATTTGTGTGAGATCTGAGTGGACAAGTGTGTCATACAGTGCATGCAGCAGTGTGAGCTTTTTGTTCATCAAAGGCTCAAGCAGCGTACAGATATTTAGAGAGCAGCATTATTAACCAAAGCATAAAACCACTGCCACAACTAGCCAACACATGCCATTTAAGCACTTTGCATTTCAAAAGAAGACTGCAAAAACATGTGCTGCACAAATGTATTTGAACAGTTAATGAAAGGCCTGGACTCGACTGAAAAGTCACCTGTAACAAAAACATGAAATCAAGAAGCAACAGGAAGTGGAGATGAGTACCCCAAGAAGTCAACCATAAATGCAGCAAATCTCCAGTGTTGTGTTTGAACTAGTGGCTCTATCCCTGAGAACAGAGGCTGTAGGACTCACAGGAAGGACAGGCTGGGTCTCCTCTTTGACCACTGTCGGTGCTGCTGCTGCCTGGTGAGCAGGGCCAGAAACACAGGTCAGAGACGTCACAGCGCTCTACTGCATCTACAGGCTGATGGCCGCGAGCAATGGCCACATCCAATGCAATTTTCTATGACCGATGGAGGCATGTAGATGAAGATGGTGCAGAATGCAATGTGAAGTAATGGGAGCGGGCTACACCTACACACTTTATACAAACCCACTTAAGATTTAAAAGAAGTCAATGTAGCTCAACATTCTACTGCTTTGGAACATGAATCCTATGATATCATGCATGAATGTGCACTTTATGTCTGACTCTCAGGGAAGCATCAACTTAAGTATTTTATGCAGTCGGGTGGGCCATGCTATTTTAGCTCGAGCCTAAATATTTAATTTGGGATGACTAGAAGCTCAAGCTTGGAAGGCTTTGCTGTGTTGAATTTGACTGGCAGAATAAGAGGAAGACTGAGTGCACAGAGCGGGCACAAATAAGCTGCATGAATGAAACAATGATTGTTATGATTGTTAGCACAACCCCACATGCAACCACAGACCAAGGCAGCTCCAGAGGCAGATTAGTGGAAATGAGGCAATTGAGCCCATGCAGGTGTTAAAGACAAACAAAAAGAGTGGATACCTGTGTGGCTCATAGCTTCCTCCATCTTTACCTCCTGATCAGAAAAATAAAAGCAATGGTTTGTTAAACGCTTTGATTGGAACAGACGTGGGAGGGAGATCATTCACACAGGAGTCTCTTCATGCACTGCTGCAGCTACGCTCTAAAGACAAAATGATGCAATTATAAAATAAAAGGGGGTGGTCAGAGGAGACAGACTGGAGAAATGAAGTGGGAACAACTGAATGAGAGTTCAACAGGGTTTCCCCTCCACTCCAGACTGAAGTGATAATAGTTGTGTAGTCTCACTCCAAAAATAGATCATTTTCATTCAATTTATTTTTAATAGTCACCTCTTCCAACTCAAATAAAACCAATGTAACCACAAAATCTATTTGATTGGTTTGGCGTCACCGGCGTTCAAGGGCAGCCTGAGAGATTAGGGCTGTTATGTGAAATGTGTTGGCATGCTAATGACAAGCGCGGTGAGCTAACCCTGAAACCCAATCAGCTTCTCCAGAGCAGCCAGACAGCCCTCCGTAGAACCTAATTACAGACATGGAGTTTTATCCTTGGAACGTATCCGAGTATCAGTACCACACACAAATGTTGTGGTGACTTAGGTCATTGTGGTAGTTCTTATTAAGCCCATCTAATAGTCAGACCAGGGCCATATGGAGATCTAATAAAACCCTACAGCAGATTACAGAGGTGAAGCCTGAAGGTTTCTAAGACATGACAACCCTAACTGCAGCGCTGACAGAACCTCTTCACCAGTACTGCTCAAACTGTTAAACAAACTCATATATGCTGCTCGAGTCGACTTTTACAAACTGGTTTTCAGAAACAGAAAAGTGCAGGTGGATAGAAAAGATCAAAGTAAATGCAGGTGGAGAGAAAGGACAAAAGTAAATGCATGTAAACAGAAGAGACAAGACTCCAGGAGGACGTAAAAACCTGGCAAAACAAAACCAAAAAGCATCGTGATGAAGACATTCATATTCAAACAAGTCACACGGTGAGGATTTAGCTCCATCTGAAAGAGTGAGATATCGTTGAGTGGATGATTCCCAAACACATGCAGCATGCAAAAGACGTGCAAACAAACCCCGCCGGACTGAGACAGATCCAGATCCAGCCAAATCAGTGTCAGTCGTGATTGGCGTTTTTAACTTCTACAACCCCGTGAACCGCCGTGTTACATTTGACAGAGGCGTGTTAGCGTTTACCTGTTTCCAAGCCTTTCGGGCGCGGGTTGCATTGTTTGTAACCCTGACAGCTCCTCATCTCCATCAGCTGAGCGTGAAGAGAGTTCAGTACGTCCCGGTCCACGTTATACACCGCGTTGGTCAGCTGCCAAACCACAAAAACGACCACGTGAGGCCCTCGCTAAACACACAGGCGAGCGCTTTGCTTCTTTTCGCCGTCACATGCTTTCCAAACGACAAAATAGACGTGGACTTTTTTTTTTAACGAGGTGTGCTGTTGTGTTTTTATAGCGGGGCACAGATGTTGTTCACCTGGTATGGGTCACTGTTGAGGTCGAAAAACTCCAGGAAACCAGTGGAGAACTCGCAGAAGAGCGTGTTGTGCGTCTCGTTGATGGTTCTCAGGCACCAGTAAGTGTTGTTGTTGGAGCTGGTGCAAGCGCAGAATCCCCCGACTGTGAACGGAGACACGCACAGAGAGACGCAGACACACACACACACACACACACACACACACACACACAGAGACACACACATGCGTTAACCAGCCAGTCATCCTGATTGGACTATGTTCATAAAAGCACAGTATTGACTTCTGTGATTACACCAGAGAAGCAGAAGGAAATGTCAAAGATCACACTTGAACTCACAATTATCAAAGTGCTTCTATTTAAAGAGGACACGATGCGGCCTGTCTGCTGTAAGGGCTGCATCGGCTCCTCTCCTTACAATTATATTCAGCGGATTTTATTTGCAAAATACAAAGAATACATTTTATGTTCTCAACAATTGCTATAAAAGTGCAAAACAAAAAAAGCAATCATATATTTATGTATTATTTTATACATAATTGATTCATTTTTAGCACAACCCTAACACTGAAGCGTTGGTGTGTGCCGTCACTCACTGGTCCAGAACGGCGCCGTCTGCCAGTGGTCATTGTTGTGAGTGAAGCAGGTCAGTCCCGGCAGACTGCAGTCGTCTCCTTTCTTCAGCCTCTTTTTCTCTTTTCTCTCCTTCTTTCGGCGGCGGATCTCGTTGTAGAGCTGAACCCGAGCGTCCACCTCGTGCGCCGCCTCCCTGCGGGACAGAAGCGCTTCAGGATCAGGACGAGCAGAGACTGAGCTTTTCTTTTGAGTGTTTTTGGTGGCGGGTCCAGCGCCTGCTCGTCTCATCAACATGTTCCTGCCTCCTCAGGAATGTCCCACACCATGGAATACACCAGTGGTTCTCAACTGCCGGGACGGGGCCCAAAAGTGGGTCGCAGGATCATTTTGAGTCGGGAGACTTTTTTTTTTTTTTTTAATCAATATTTCAAATAGAAATAGAAATTGACCTTGATAGAAAATAAATATTAAGACATGTGTCCTTAAAATCATAAACATATTTTCATACAAAGAAAATCCACTGAAAACTAGATTAAAACCAAATTTACTAGAAACAACATCTAAAACTTGCCTCATTGGAAGCAAGGACATTAATTTTTTTATTTTTTATTGCAAGATTTGTTTACAGTACATTTTCTATTTTGTTTTGTACTTTGAGCCATAACTCAATACTTATAAAACAAGCATATATTGTGAAAATACTTTTATTTGTGTCCCGACACCGTCCCAGTTGAGAATCGCTGCAATAAACCCAATTATATTTCACTAAATACGTGAATAATAACTGTTTTTGCTGGAATGTTTGAAACTATAACAAGGCGGACCCTTCCACCAAAGACTTCAGTGCTCTTGTGATTTTCAAATGTGTTTTAAAATGCCACATGCTTCTTTAACAAAATGAAATGACAGTTTGACACAGACGTGCTCATGCATGACTGTTGCTGGTCTGTGACATGATGCTTGTGAGTTTTAATGATGATTATTAAAGTGGAAGATGGTACTGCACAGGACAAACAAGAGTACCAACTCACTTAAATGGGTGAAGTTGATTTTTTCTGCTCTTCAATTTCTCCTTGTTTCTGATGCCTTTGCTAAAATAGCTGTTTTTATAAACAGAAGAATAAGAATTGAAGCCTACAGATGGATGTATTTCTTGAGGTAAATGCACACACACCTCTTCCTGCCGCAGTCGCAGTCGTCGGGCCGAGTCCTCTTCAGATGACCTCTTACTTCACGCAGGTTCTTGATCTTGTCCTGGAGCGCCTCGAGCTGGAAAAGACACAGAGGACACATCAGGAGTGAGTCTGGCCGAGAGCGGCCCCTAGTGGCCGAGAGTGGCCCCCAGTGGCCGAGATTGGCCTCTACAGCACCTGGAACAAGTCTCAAAGCTTTAAAACTCAATTTCGAACCAGAATGCACCATGAAAGGCTGGTATTTAACATTTTTCAAATATTCAAAATATGGAGTTGGGCAACCTGGGGGAATGTTTTAGAAACACTGCATGATTCATGTCTCTCTCTTTGAACGCACAAGTCGAGACAAGAAAAAAGTTGAGATTGCCAAATTTTTTTGCACAGCCTTAATACAAGTATTTTATGATTCTTTGAGAACCATCAATGAGGAGATCTAGTTAGACAATTTCCTCCGCTCACCTCTTGGTCCACGTAGGTCTTGTGATCCTTCCAGGCTTTTGAGGACTGGTAGATTTCCCGTTCACAATGGACAGAGTCGTTCATCAGGATATAGCACCTGCAGAGATTGAAACAAGAGTTTAATTTCCCTCTTGACAACACATTATGATGAACATTATTATTGTTGATTATAATTGATTATTATCCACAGAAGGAAGAATAAACTACTACTGACATAAAACAACAGACAAATAAATTGCTCACAGGGAATATCCTTTTATCAATAAAAGGCTTGAGAAATAAACAAACTTAAAGCTGGGGGAGCAAGCTTTCAAACAACAACAAAATGGAACGATCTCTCGAACAGTTTGATTCACGTTTCACATGTCTGTATCATCTGTATTAGATCAGGTTTTCCAGACAGGAAACCTCACCCCAGCTTTAATCAACCGTCTTCACTAAACAAGTTGAAAATGTGATACATAGAAAGCATCAGAGTATATTGCACCGTCCTTGTGTGAAGCGGCTGTGGCCTGACGGGAACGGCCCTGGGAGCATGTATAATTCAACAGCCTCTTACTTGTGCGTGACTCTGACCGAGTTGGGGTATCCTACAGCGTTGGTGTCGTCTGCCAGCATCTCCTCGGAGCCGTCACTGGTCCCCAGGGGCGGGTCCTCGGGGTTGTAGTGCCGTTTGGAGATGACGCGGCGCCGCACGGCCGACTGGTCATCGGCCTGGAGGTCCACGTCGTAAATCTGACCCTCGAATTCGACTGAGAGAGACCTGGCAGGACGGGTGTGGAGGAATCTGGGACGGAAGCCTGGAGTTGAAAAAGAAAAACTCATCAGTGTGCAGCAGTGGGGACAGCTGCAGTGGGATCTTGTGCCCACTAGAGGGCGTAAGATCACAGATAAAACACTTATTAACACTGTTCAGAACATTTATAGAGATTTCCATGTTTTTATTTTTTATGAAAACCTAGAAATAAAAAAGTACAGAAATATCAGCACAGAATACCTTAAAACTGGGGTACCTAACTTTTTCTAAATAATACATTTTATTATTCTTTGCATAAAAGTACCTTCATAAATACATTTTCCTAGGTCTTAATCACTCCAACAGAAAGTCTTGTAAAGATTAAGTGTTCTGAACATATCAGACCTCGACGCGCCGCCCTCATCTCATTAGAAAGTTATCTTTTGGCACTGCGAAGGGGGAGGAGCTACCTGGTGGCGGAAGTAAAATAATTACATAAAAGCTAAAAAATTTGAACTGAGGAGGTAACCATAACATCTATTTATACTTTGTTTTCCAGAACATACGCAGAATTTTTAGTATTTTAGTTTCAAAAAAGTATTTTGAGTTCTAAATGTGTTTTTTGTGTATTTTTTGGTCTAAAAATAACTGTGGCGTCGTAAGACTCTTTCAAATCTCTTAATTTTACTTCCGGAACCTGAAAGCTCTGCCCTCTTGGCAGCTCCTGTCAAATGTAAAAGCAGTGTACTGACGCTGGCCTGAGGGGACCGGCCGGTGCGATCGCCTCTCGGCCCGGGTGGGTTTGAGCAGGACCTGGTCACAGTCACAGCCTCGCTCCCTGTGGTCGTAGCTGCGGTGGGGCCTCAGGCTGCGAACCCTCTTCCTGGAGCCCTCCTTCCCGCCCCCTCCTCCTTTACACTTCTGGATGCGCCACTTCCCCGAGATCTCCTCCACGCAGTGCCACTTCTATCAACAGAGAGAGAGACGTGATTAGTCTTCAGACAAGTCTGAGCAGGAGAGAGAAGAGAACGTCTTTGCCACACAAATGTGGTATGTCTAAAGTTTGACACTTTGAAACCACATACATTTTGTGATTTTTAGGAATGTAGTCCCCAGAAGAAAACAAGATTAACCAAAATGCAGATGGTATAAGAATAGCACAAATCAAATAAGATGCCACATGTTTTAGGCCCGTGTTAAATAAGTCATCAGACAAAAACAGCACACTTGTTAATCCCTCTCATATTTCTCTCAGAGCTGATCTCTGTGGGCATTAGGAGTGAAAGTCTCAGTGGACACTGTTTAGTTTCTTCCATTTCCAAAACAAAACAGAGGCACAGCTGATCTGGGGCAAGGTGTGGGAACAGCGGGTTTCTCATATCGGGAAGATAAGACCAAGGCTTTATTTACAGGGAGAAGCAGGCATGACTCAGTATAGATTTCCTATTTACACGTAGGTCTGGATATCGTCCAGAACCTGCCGATACGACACATACTCGATACGCATGACAATACGATATAGGCATCAAGATACAGCGGATACACTTATACACAATACAATATATTTCCCAACAATACAATACAAAACAGTAAAAAACAAAGGCTATAAGTGACCTATAAGCTAACGTGGTGCCCCGTTTGAACAGAGATACGATACAATGCAATTATATTTCAGTTGTTTAAAATGAATTGTAATAATATTTTATAAGTGATATAAAAAAAAGAAAAAAAAAATACTAAATCATGAAATAATACAAAGTTAAAAAATAATATTTTATTTCATTCTTAAAAATATACACAAATGAATCAAACAGATTTTATATATATATATATATTATATTATTTTTTTTAAGACTTTCTCTAAAGTGACTAACTTCATCATATCATTGCCATATTTCTTTTGTGGATGATCAAACTGCATTGGACTTGATAAAACTCTTTTGGTCCTGATTAAAACTCTGGCTCATACACCAAACAAAATGTCATTGTTTTGAGTTTCTGTGACATTGACGATAAAAATGTACAGTACGTCTTGATTTGCAGCAACAGTTCAGGGACTGGGGAAAACAGACATTGTTGTCATTGGAAAGAGTCTTTTATGACGCCTGTGTATGATTACTGTTCGCACAAACAATCGTTTCTTTAATCGTGTGGCCAGACTAGAAGTGTCCACTGAGGAGGAATGTTGTGGTCGTTACAAACAATCCTCTTCCAACTAAATCATACTGGATTTCTCTGAAGTTTATCGTCCTCATTCCTTTGTAAAGATCTCGCAGAGTATGACTTTGTGGACGGAGACAAGTGCGGCGCTTGGACAGACAGGCGGAGGAAACAATAAAGAGCGAGCAGCTGCGAACAGAGCCAGGTCTCGGCTTTACTGCCTTTTAGGGCGCGTTCTGGGAGGCCGTGTTAAATCATGCCAGACGAGCCACTTGCGACTTTGTGTAATTCAGCTCCACATTATGATGTAAATGTCTAATGCCTCGGTCGCACCATTTCCACAGGTGCCTTTAAGCCGACGCACCGCACTCAGACATTCTCAAGACGTCATTTTCAATTCCTCTGCAAAACATGCATTAATCGACAACTATAAAAACGGCTCTAGATTAGATTAACAAATAACTCCATCTTGCAGCGGCTAGAGCTTTAGCTTTAGGTCCTGGGTTCGATTCCACCTGCAGGCTTTTCTGTGTGGAGTTTGCCTGCTCTCCCCATGTCTGTGTAGGTTTCCTCCGGGTGCTCCGGTTTCCCCTACCACTAAAAAAGGACTTTCAATTCGCTATGATATCTTTCCCAACAACACAAAACAAAGCAGTAAAAAAATACCAAAATTAAGCCCCAATATATCATTTGATTTCACCTCCAGGCCTTTTCTGTGTGGAGTTCGCATGTTCTCCCCTTGTCTGCAAAGGTTTCCTCCGGGTGCTCCGGTTTTTCCTACCACTAAAAACATGTACAATAGGTTCGATGTCTCGCTTCCACCATCGCCGTTTGTGGAGAGAATGGAAAAATATCTGAACTCTCAACCATTGTAAGGGCTTTGGGTGACCATGGTCTGTAAACGAGCTATATACATAAAAGATGACTTACTTACTATATTCACGACAAGAATTTCAGTATTGTTCCATAAACTCCGAGGCCGCGCAGAGTTGGCCTGCCAGCATATTAATAGGCCAAGATTAAAGAACAGTTCAGAATGTGACTGAACCGCAAAATGGCTCTGAAGGCTCCCATTATGAGCCAAGTGATGTTCTGTAAATGGCTGTTTGATTTGCGGCGCGGAGTAAAAGTTCAAGCGCTAACAGCTGTGACATGCTGTAAGGCGTAGAAGGAGGAGGAGACGCAGTTTGGTTCACAGCCGTTTGAAGGTGCGGGGGTCATGTGATCATCTGAGGGGGGCGTGTTTGCTTTTCTTACCTGTCCGGGCTGCTCGCACGGCGTCTGGAACTCCGCCTGCTGGCACGTCTCTCTGACCTTCTTGTACTTGGGCAGGCTGTTGGTATGTTGCGTGTTCGGCGAGTCGTCCTTCTTCCTCAGGATCTTGCTGCGTCAGAGAGAGCGAAAATGGTCAAATAATGAGGAGGGAAAAAACAAATTGAAGTGTGTTCTTAATTAGCTTTTTTATTTTTAGGCTGGCCTTAACATCTTCCCACGGGACTACCGATGAAAATTAGATTCATTTATCTACCTCGGGTACATTTACACTGTATAATGTTGATTAATGTGCACTGTCCCGTTTCAAATAAATCAATAAGTACAAAGATATAACTAAAAAACAATTATTTTGTAATATTGTTGTTTCTTAAGAATTGTATTCCTTGGAAAGGCAACCAAGTAATAAAAATGTCGACCGATGCCTTTAGTGTTTGTGATTTTGTCAGGATTGACTGCAGATTACAGCACTAACACAAATCATCTCCAATAATGAAATATAAACACATTTTAGGGGTGGGCGATATGGCCTAAAATTCATATTGCGGTATAATTTGGGACACAGACGGTAGACGGTATATATTGCGGTATAATTTGGTGTGTGAATTTCAATATAGGTCTAGCAGGTTCTTGCATAAAATAGTCAAGATTGTTAATTATTTATATATTAGAATCTAATATATATATTTTTTGAGTTAGAAAATCAGTTGTGAGACGAATAAAGAGACAAATAACATACATTATTTATGTATGTTACAGTAAATACCATTCACTGTAAAAGCAATTTTTAAAAAGAAAAACATATGCATTCATTTAAAATATAAAAAACTCACAAATGTTGAAATCAAAGTCTGTAGGAGTTAGACATGGTCATTATTCATAGTGTCTGAGAGTTTCGTGCAGGTACATGACTTCAGTAAAAGCTATTTTACAAAGCTGGTCTTGCCATTTGTTGACGCTCCCTAAGCGCTTTTCTCTGCGCTGGATGATTCAATGGATTTATGTTCATTAAAACAGCGCATTGGATTTGAACAATTGATGTAAATGATCATTTTGGCACAAATAATTTTGTTTAACAAAGTAGCTTTCGTGAGATATTGACCGCGGAGGTCCGAATCTGACGCCAACTTTCCCAAACTTCTGCTGTAATGCTGCGGACACGGCACACGCATGGATCTATTTTGGCTCACGCTGGCGCTTCGAGCCTACGCCCCTTTGACACTGATTGGCCAAAAGGTAGACGCTTAAACTGTGATTACTGTGTGTGTATTTACCATGGATGTATTATATTAACTGGATAGGGTATTACTAGCTTGTAGCTGAATAACTCACGTGCTCAGGGGATTCTCGCGGTACTGCAGACTGAACCAGACTAAATTCACGTGGGCTACCCAGAAATTTTCCCCATAGAACTCAATGCATATTAAAACAGCTCGACCTAAGCTGACAGAGAACCTACAGCTTTAATAAAGATAGGATTTTGTGGGGATTTTAGTGTCCCTTGTCATCCTGAACTTTTTTTCTTCTTAAATCCTTCGGTTTTGTTTAAATCCACACTTTAGTGCCACAAACTCTGCTCCTCTGGCTCTCGCTCTAACTCCCGCTCTGATGAACTGCTCTGATTGGTCAGAGCGCGGCCGAGCCCCTCTGTGCACGTGCGTGAGACCTGGTGTGAGACCCACACACCCGTGTTTGGCGCAACGCATTATGGGAGATCATCCACTGCACAGAACCGGGAGGACCAGACGATGCCCAAATACAGGCGAGTTTCCCATAGATCTTTGCGAGTTTCAGGCAACTTCCGCTTATCTTTCAGTCCCCATGCCGTCACAAAGCGCCACTGAGCACAACCATTCATTTGAATAGGGCGCCATCTTGGATCGCCGGGGCTTGGTATTTACCTCTGCTGGGGCCGCTGTGACAACAATACATAGACAGAAACACGGTGTTAATGCCGTGCTGTTGTTCGCTGTTTCCAGTGGTGTCCAATAGTGCTAGGCTAATGCTAGGCTAATGTGCTAGGCTAATGCTGCTGAATGCCGGTTTGTTTTGGTCCTTTCTGTTGGCGTCAGAGCCTGCGCAATTTAATGACATAATGACCTATCGCAATATGCCGGTATAACAAAAATCTCTACCGTGGGCCAAATTTATATCGCATACCGCTTATACCGTTTATATCGCCCAGCCCTAACACATTTATAGTGTTTTTGCTAAACTGTGGAGGGAGGTTAGCCTGGCTAACGCCAGACGAAATATGTTGTGAAGTTCGAAAGGATTCGAGCGCACACAGCAGTCTGGCGTTAGCCAGGCTAGAGGGAGGTTAGCTTAGGGGTCAAAATCATTTAGTCTTTTACAGAATCGTATCGTACCGTTTGGAAAAATATATCTTAGCAAAGTTCCTGTGCTGTCTGGCTACTGACAACATGTAGGATTAATAAAGTATATATCCAGTATATATAAGTACCTATATTCGTCATAGACAAACCGCAGAACAAATACGACTTCAAAACAATTTCCTATAATGTGTCACATTGTTCAAGAGGCGCAATATGAGACAAAGGCGTACTTTTAACACTTGGGGCTCCTCTGCCTCAGTGTTTTTCCATGTTATAATCCATCTCTTATACAGTATTAGAGTGCGTCTCACACCCACACTCCGCTATGGGCCAGGTTTGTGACCCCCTCTTGGCATGGCACAGGTCCTCTATGTCGCCTTCTCATGTGCCACTAGCACCAGCTCTGGCCAGACTCCTCACCACCGCAGCCAAACCTCCTCCCTGTTCCTGGCTGCAGCCTGAGCTCTGTGCCAGCAGGACTCTCAGCTCCAAATGACGTTGACAAAGTGAAAAACAAGCCGTTTAAGGCTGTGGTTGTTGTCTTGTCCAGAGCTGTTTACCAAGGGCCTCCAGAGGGGACAGTGGACCACGCTCTCACTCTGCTGAGCTGGATCTGACCGCTTTTGCCAAGGGAGATTTTTAACTAACTGTTGTTGTCAGTCTCTGCGTTCAACTATATCCTCTCTTTTCTTAGGGTTAGAAGAGGATACATGCAAAACTGTGCACGTTGTTGTGAATAAATACACAAAGACAAGTCAATGATGAGTGTGCAGTTGTATGCTGAAACACGTTACACAAACCACCAGATGCCTGTGCCAGAATGCACTGTTAGAATGTTGCTAACTAAAGAATTCATTGGGTTTGTCACACAAAACAAGATGGTATTTCTATCTTTAAAATCTGTGCAAAAAAATGCCGTAGCAGTTTAGCAAAAGAAATGACTAAAGCAGACTTTTTGAACATGATTAACAGAAATATGTAACAATTACAAGAATCAATCTCACATGTTTCCTTTTTCAAATCATAACTTTATATCTATCAAACTCCAACACCAATAATTAGACTGTGATGTATTGTCTTTGAAGGATAAATAAATGAAAGATACTCTATTGCTTCAGAGGCCAAGCCGAGATTTGTTACAAAGATTTAATCAACGCTCGATTCAAGTCTGTTTTTATTGGAAATGATCAAACACAATGGTTAGTGATGTGTCAGCAGATCTTTCAGCAGTTTTCCTAATCTACGTGGGATGTCAAATTTTACCAAAGGAATAGAAAAGAATAGCGCCATTGCAAGTCAGCTGTGGTCAGGAAGTGTCTATCCGATATCACAAAGAAACCACTGGAGAACGCAACGGAGCCTCTTTTGGATGCTGATTGTTGAACCCAGTCTAGTGTTTGGTCAGGTTCGACCCACAGCGAGCTAAAATGACATGGATCTGTCTGTGGTGCAGAAATGAAAAGCTTACCCCCGCTCCACAAGGAATGTGTCCCGCCAGACTTTAGGTTTCCGGTTTGTTTTAAATCTGGGGGGGAAATAAAAATTACACAATCAGTAATATGACGCACAGGTACATTCTGCGTGGATGTAACTTCAAATCTAATAAATGGTACATGATAACGGCAGATGTTTGAACATGATTTCAGTTTTCATGTTCTTTAATAAGAACCAGTCAGAAAAATAAAAATGTGGATGTTCTCCAATATCACTTAATCTTGAAAGACTGTCTGAATCTTCTGGCTAGTTTTGAACTTGTAATGCTTTAAAAATAGACCTTGAACACACAGCACCACTCAGCTGCAGCTAAATTAATCATTGGATATGGAAATTTCCTTTTGCACAATAATTGAGAATGAGCCGTGTTGTACAGTTGTGTTTGGAATGTGGTGTAATTACAGTAAATAATGGCCACTGCTCAGACAGCCTTACGGACCTGTTCCCAGAGCGCTCCTGCTCCAGCAGCTTGAGAATAGACTTTCCGTCCATGTCTGGAGGAGTGTCGAGTCCAGCGATGTGGAGGATAGTGGGAGCCAGGTCGATGTTCAGCACCAAGTGAGGGTTTCTGATGAAGCACAGAAAAGAAAGGAAAAAAACTTTCAATTTCAGATTGTGGATCAAGATGTGGTCAATGGGTGTTTGTTTACTTTACTTATACTTAATATTCTGAAAACATCAGGTTTGACTTACACAGCACCTGCTTCCACATTAGGTCCTCGAAGGAAAAATGGCACACGGATGTCAAAGTCATAAGGCATGGATTTTCCTTTGACCAGACCAAACTGTCCTATGTGGTATCCATGATCTGCTGTGTAGATGATGTAGGTATTTTCAAGCTCTCCAGTTTCTAGCAACATCTCATAAACCTTCAAGAGAAATATAACATTTAGTACAAGGACCATTTTCCCATGATTTGCATTTTAAGCTAAAAGACTTACTTTCTGCACTGAATCATCCACAGACAATAGTGTCTGTAGCCGTTTGCGGTGGAGGAAGTTTGTGAACTCCATGTGGATGGGCTTCATGGGGCCGGTGTACTGCATGATCCAGTGCTTGTCCATGTTTGGTGCGTAGTTATAGCTCGGAGTTCTGGAAAAGGAGCAGGCCTTTTTTTCAAACCAAAGGCGAAGCAGAAGTGATATTTGATAGAGTTACAGCTTCATTATTGCTGTATGAAGATACTCAAACACCTGCATGCTACATTCTGCACTGAGCAGTGAGGAACAGGTGCCATATTGGTCCACAAGCATTTTGACATGCATCAGTAGCTGCTCTGTTTGTTGAAGGAAATGGCCAAATACTGAGCTGCTACTGCTGGAGCCGTTTTTCCACACCTCTCCCAGCCTCCTTCTCCTCTCACACAGACGAGACTCTCCCGCTCCGCTCTTGGCACAGGCCAGTCATTTGTGGGTTGGCACATGCTTAAGAAAATAATAGGCCCCAAAGTCAAGTTTGCAACAACTTCTGGACCAAAACCTAATAAGTCATGGTCATTTGAAATGCAGGAAAAACAAGAGGAGTAAAACAGTTACAAGGAAGCTAAGAGAGGCTCCCAACGTATCTGTCACTACAACCTAAAAGTGTCAATGCAAGAACATAACAATGTTATGCAGCCCACTCAATAAACAACACATGATAGAGCTGCCTTCTGCCCTCCTCTCCTTAGGGCCACTTTGTGAAAGGTGAACTCTTCACCCACTTAGCTTGGCGGCCTAATAAGCTCCACAAAGGGACCCGTCTCTGGGCAGCGGGCCACCATGGTATGGGGCCCTGGACAGCAGAAACCAGGAATGCAGAGGTCAGAAGAAAAGAGCAGGTTCATAGGTGGGGTCACACCTGCCACCTGTCGTAAGCAGGCAGAGTATTAGGCCTGGATTATAGCGGCTCATGGCCTACTGTTCACCCCAGCTGCAGCACAGCCGCACAAAACTCTATTGACACTATGAGGCTTAACGACACAGCCTAGAGCATCATTTGTTTCAGCTAGACTAATTCAAATGTAATATTTACAAACCACAACTAGAGTGTTGAAAGTGTGATGGGAGCTTGCAAGGATCTTAGCTACATAGTAAAAATACCTTCTGTCAGGAATGTTAATAGCATTAACAACAAACCTGCTCCCTGCTATTGTTCCTGTCAAAGTTAGGGATGTAAAAAACTATGAATTTTCATGACCGACCACCGAGCCTCATTAACCGGTTGAAACCGGTTAACCGCATAGTTTAAAATAGTCCACGTTCTTTGAAATAACAGCCATTTCGAGCCGCGTACTTTTCATATGTGCAGCTGAGCGTTTAATGGATCAGAGCTGAGAGGCGCCCAAACCCGCAACAGCTTGGGCACCTTTGCGCACAGAGAACTGCTGTTTTAATCTTCCCATTCTGCTGTGCTGCGGCTTAAAGCATTTTTAAGCAAAAGACAGCTCGTCCACATGCTCAGGGCAGCGAGTGACGAGCCGCGTCTCGCAGGTCTCCGCTAAAGTTTAAAAGTGATCAGTGTGGAGCTGATGCCAAGGACCAGCAGCACAAACATGGTCCATGTGGTTTGACTGGAGCCGTGTATTTGTAGAATGCTTTGGGCTCCGTGACACAGAGGAGCGCGACAGACCGGTATGTGTGTGTGTACAATACATGTATGTATGTGTGTATATGTCTGTGTGTGTGTATATGTAAGCTATGTGTGTGTGTACAATACATGTATGTATGTGTGTGTAAATATAAGCTCCAATGTAGTTCTGACCCGCACCAGTGTGCAACTAGCAGACGGTAACAGAGGGGAGAGATGATGCGTGTGGATGTTACGTGTCAATGGAGGGGGGTATGTGTGTGTGTGTGTGCGTGTACATGTGTGCGTGCATATGTGGCGCGTACGGCGTGAGAGTCGGCCCAGAGTTTACTGTTACATTGGCGCACACAGCTAGATAGGGACCCGCTCGTCACATCGTGCAAATAGGGCTTAAAATAGCGTTATGAAGAGACCTCCCCTCTCCCCCTTTTCTCTTTTTTAACCGACAGCTTTGACCGGTTAACGCTGTGACGGTCAACCACCGGTTAACCGGTCACCGATTTACATCCCTAGTCAAAGTACAGACACTTGTTTGATTTATGAGGCAACTCCTCTGCTGCCACGCCGTCTCTGTCAGAGTTTTGCCACCATGTCAACCCAAAGAAAGTAGCTTAGTAACAGGAGACTAAATCCCTTCAACCTATAAAACAAATGACTTTGTGGCATTTGACCATGAAATGTTCCCACATATTTTATACCTCGGCATTACCAACAACAATCAAAACAAAGAACCACTGCACAACAACCTGAGCTCCCATAGCAACCGCTGACAACACCCTGTTCCTAATACAGTGAATGCAGCGTATGACACCCCCCCTTTTAGTCACCAAACAAATCAGGCCAGCACCCTCCTCCCCCCAATTCATGCTAAAAATAAATTAATATTTCAAAAGGGTGTTCCAGACCACACAAAGCATTCCTCTTTGCAATGGGCACACTGGTGCTTCTACTGATTGATATGGACAGGGTCAGGAAGCCTTCTGTCAGCTCAATAGTGAATGAGGAAAGATGGGAAACGCACAAGACAGGCTGGACAATGATGAGCAAATTTACAGCGCTTTTGACAACTAAATACACACACAAATGATCAGGAGAAAGAAAGACATTTTGACCAGACAGCCTTGTTGTCTGCATAACTGTGAGGAAGATGGATCTTTACTCAGGCATACACGGTAATTGGTGTTTTCAGTTTGTTTGCCAACAGTCTAAGCAACCAGCAAACCCAAACTATTGCCTCTTTCTGAGTAATGAAAACTGAAGGAGGTCAGCTTGGCAAGACTGCAGCTCTTCAAAAAAAACTCAAATCATCTCCCTGGTGTTTTTCCTCTGCTATTCTTAGACAATAAATCACTCTGATTTTATGCTAGCCCATGCAGCGTCTCTGCTGCCTGTCATCGCTGGGTTAGAAAGGCATGCATGTAGTAATGTTATTAGATACACAAAATCATTATGAGTCTAGGTGGATTTCTGACTGCAGCAGCGGAGGAGAAGGTAAACACTGGTCTGGAGGATCCCTGCTGACTGTGAGGTTACATACGATGGTGAAAGTAGCTTACATGTGCTGAGAGGCGTTGGGGAAGTGTTCGGCAAACTGTGGCGCCGAGTCCTCTGGGCCATGGGGGGCCGCATGACTGATGACCATCATCACGGGCCGGTGCGGGTAGATCCTTTTAGACATGCGGAAAAAGTTGATGCTGTCATTGGTGATCAGATCAGTGAAGTAATCCTGCAGGAAGAAAAAAGGAACGCTTTCAATACTTTTACGAGGGAGACAAGGGCTAAAAAAGACTTCAAGTAAAAGGTTGTTTATTGAGAACGCACAACAGCCACATTGATAAAGTAATTCACAGCAAGACTTTCAATCACTGTGACATGCCGTTTTCCTCTTCCAGTAATTTTCAAATAAATCGTGAGGCAGAGCTGCTATGAACCGGGGCCATTGAGTGCACGGCCGTACCAATCTGTCGAGTCAACAGCTGGCAGCCTGCCTGAGAGTAAATCCAAGTGTGTGTGTATACAGGCTATGGACCGCTGCCCCATCACTGACTCTCTGCACTATTCAATGTGACATGGTTTGATGTGAGCGGGGCCTAGTGTCTTCACTGGTATGCTGTTATGACCAAGTCCCCCTCTCCTGTCCCCATTACCCATTGTGTCCACTCTTTCATCATTACATCCAGTTTATTGTGTTGCAACCTTTTTGAGATCACTCATTTCAATGATATAACCCTAAACAATGATATGACGTTACATCATACAATGGGCGACAAGTCTTGGACTGAAAATGCCTTATTTAGATGCACAGTACAGGATAGAGCACGGAGCACAATCTGTCCACACATTGTCACGGCTTTGTGCCAGTTCAAACTCGAAAGTCACTATAAATATGAGAGTTGCAATGGGAAGGACAAGCATCATAAACAAATGCCAAATGTAAAAACGCAATTCAATGCTTTGGGGGATTTATGTCTTTGGCAAAACCAGAATGGAAAAGACTGTAAAGAAAAGAAAAAGATAATCCCAGGACTCACTACACTGTGCATGTAATAAACAGTGAAAGGATTTCCACACAGGAAGTGGTTAAACTCGACAAAACATGGGATGAAATGGGAGTTTTATCAAGATCTGGTGGAGTATAATTTTTACAATAGCTCACGCCCTGGACTTAAATCATAATGGCAACGTTTCCAACAGATTAGACACTACCTGCAGCTCTGGCACGCCTCAGCTGCTGCCTGGCATACAACATACGGAAGGGAGTGCCAGGGAGGGATTGAAAAGGGGAAAGGGTGATTTCCCTCAAATGTCAGAAGTGGGTTTGGCCAATGCATCCTGTCTCCCTTAATAGGCTTTATAGATGGGCCAGATTTAAAGGCCTGTTGCAATAGGCTGCCCATTGTGATTCACAGGGCAAAAAAGTCTAGCAGTAGATCATTCCAAACGGCCCTAAAATCTGAGCAACTGCTACAAAGGTCCTGGCAAGGAAGTGGTTGTGTCATGAGGAAATCCTTCTAATACATAACAAGTCTATGATTACACTCAGCCTTTTGTAAGTGACATGTAGTAGGTGACAGCGACATAATGGTGCAAAACTAATTATTTCAACATATTTGAACTTCACAGGAGCACCTTCTATTCATAGTAATTCTGCATCACATTCCATTAGCACCTGGTAAATCCAACATAACTCGGCACAGCGGATTTGCCATCCGGACTCTATAGAATCAATGGAACAAACCCTTAATCAAAATGTCAAATAAAAGTCCTTGGTCTAAGGCGTCAACCTCTGTGAACTCATCCTCCTCCGTGTGGAAAATGTGAGCGCATGCCTCATCAAATCACGTGTGATTTGGTCAGCCAGCTGCGATCTCTGTGGCCCACCTCCTCTCAACTCCCAGTGGCTCCCTAAGTCCCAGACCTGTCCTCCAAAAGTATACACAGTACAGTCAATAGCAAATAGTGTCCATTTGGTTAGCAGACCATAAACTGCTGACCGGGCCCTTAGAGTGTAAACAGTACAGCACAGAGTAACTTTGCACCCCTGTCCAAGTTGGCACAGGAACAACGGCGCTAACATTTTGGTGTGCATCGTTTGGAGAGGCCAATTTGGCAAGGATCCAAAGTCTTCCTCTTATATTTCCCATGTCTATAATATCTTGCTTCCTTGCATTGTGTATAAACTGCCTGGCAATTACTTTGAGTGATGCTAAAACGAGGGTTACCTGATTCAGGAAAATGCCATATATTCTATTATATGTACATTTAGGGGAAAAAGAGGTGGTTTGGATATTTAAAGTTTATAGCATCCAATTGCTCAAATGTATGATCATAAAAGGCACGGTGCAAAGACGCCACGCACAGTCTGCTCATTCCCTCTAATTCCCGGTTGAGGATGCCTGCCAGCCAGATAATAATATTGTGATACATCTACTGTCTATTTAGCAACCGGACGAAACCTTCAATCTCTCATGCACAGTCTACATATTAAGTCATGCTGCGAAAACAAATGAGTGATCAAGATAATGGACTCCTTTTAAAAGAAATTATGGGATCACATACCTTGGCATAATCTGCGCCGTGTTTCTCCTTGTAACCATTTCGGCACACGGTATAATTATAGAAGCGAGAATTCTTGATCAATCCGACCCATTCGCGCCACCCAGGAGGAATGTAGCTGCCGTTGTACTCATTGAGGTACTTGCCAAAAAAGGCTGTTGAGAGATGGGAGAGAAAAGTTGTAAAAGAAATCACAGAACGTATATGACTATAGCATACCTCCTGCATGAGTTTATCTATGTGCATGTGTGGTATTTTCTTGTACAGGCTTGGCAAAGAGCCAGGGTGTCGCAAAAAAGGCTAATTGCAGAGTAAGGCACAAGAGTAAAAACCACAAGACGTGCTTGCTGGCCCCTGAACCCCTTTGGGCTGCCCACTGCAGTGCCTGTCGTTCACACATGATGGGACATGACTGAGAGCTGGCACATCCCCATGTTTGCATTTCTCACAGCCACACATGGACTGAAGCTTACGGTAAACTCTTGACCACCACGAGTGCCATACCAGGGCTAAGTTTAAGCAGGATGTGATAAACACACTGCCAGTCAAAAGCCTGGCATCACCTGAGTTTTTCCATGTAACTATTACCTGTACACCTACTACGCAGACCTATTCCATTCAAAATCACCCATTTCCAGGTAGAATAGTCATTGTCCACATTTCTACCTCAAATGTTTGAATGATGTGTGTAAATCAGATCTTAAACAACATGCAGAGCACTATGTGGGAAAACCATGAAGAGTGTTTTGTATACACTAAGAACATATCTGGTATGACCAACCTGTCCTGTAGCCCGTGTTGTTGAGGTAGACTGCAAATGACCGTGGCTCGTGCTGAGCTTGCCAGGAAGGAGAAGAGCAGTTCTCGTTGTTGGTGTACGTGTTGTGGTTATGGACATATTTGCCCGTCAACATGGAGGAGCGTGATGGACAGCACATTGGAGTGGTGACGAAGGCATTGGTGAAGGATGTGCCACCATCTTCCATGATTTTACGAGTTTTATTCATCACCTGAAGGGAACCTGCAAAATAGTGTAAAGTCCACTTATTTCACCTGTATTTACTTCACTTCATGTCCGAGTTTTGAAAGAAATGTCCTTTGACAAAATCATAATTCACAATGTAAAGAGGCCAGATGGCCATTCTGCGTCTGTTTAATAATTCATGTGTAGATGAAACACTCATACGAGCCACTTAGACAGAAATAATTAAATGAAAAGTGTAAAATCTTTGAGCTCATATAAACATTAGATCAAGGAGCACAGCAGAAAGCGGAGCGTGTTTCAGTCTTACCAAGCTCTACATCTTGGTCATCTGTCATAATGAGGATGATATTGGGTCTGATGTTCCTCCGGTCTCTCTGGATGCGCCCCCTCAGCCCTTGGGACCTGGTGGTGAAGGCAGAGCCTCCAGGGGCCCAGTCCAGAGAAAACAGGGCCAACCAGGCCAGCCACGGCAGCAGCATGGTGCCCGTGCCCGCTCACAGGACGGGTAGGGCTGAGGATTATTGCAGCACTAGAGAGGCCCCAAACTCACACTGCTGCTCCCAGCGCCACAGTCAACTGTGAAGAGAAACAATGGAAATTATAGAGTGAAAACTCTAAAAAAGAACAAAACGACAAACAAACACGTCACAAACTGTCAAACAGGAAAAGATGTAAGCCGGTTCCACCTTAGAGATTCTTTCCTTATGCCTTTCTTCATCTTTCTGATAGTGAGTCCTACAGCCCACTGTCACACAAGAGAAATCTCCATCTCCACTGAAGAGGTGCTGTAAACTAAGCCATGAGCATGACCATTGGCTGACCACTCTCAAAGACCCACAGCCACTGTTTGGAATTAGCCAATCATGGGGTCCCTTCCGCCTGTCACTCAAAAGTCAACCCCTGGTGATTCAAGCGTGACAGGGGCTGGTGAAAAGGATGGGACCACACTAGGGGGAGGGGCGAGGGGCATAGAGGCAGACAAAGAGTTCCACTACATTAACTCCAATGCCACAGTCACCAATCACACATTACCAGTGAGTCATCACAACACTTTGATGCCTCCTGCTCTTTTCAGGAGTTGTGGAGTCATGGCTGACTATTAAAGTCTAAACATCCTGTCTGATAACAACAGATGATATGGAACTCGTATGACAGTTTTATAATATTGTGCAGCTACTATGAGCCTGAAGGACATGCGCTGAAGCAAGAAGCTATAATAATGAATGGTCCATCAGCGCCTGAGGATATGTGCCGCCTGTGGACAAAACCACAGTGGCACCATGCTGCCCTCCATTCTGAGTTAATGGTCTGAAAACCGACAGCAGGTCTATGACACCTGAGCCCAGTACAACCCCACTGGGCTGCCCCAGACACAGATTTAGCCCAATTACATACTGAGTGACTACTGTAGTCAATCGGTGCAACTGTATTTCATAGACCACATTCAGGTAAACATTAAGAAAAGCAAGACTGTGAATTCATTAATCCTAATTAATACTATATTAATGTCAAAACTAGTCATCCTTCCATAGTTGGCTGCTTTGCCAAAGAGCCAGGACCAGCCAGCCAGTCATCACAACAGGCCTGTGCAAACAGTGGCGCCATTTGGACAAACATGCCTCCTGTGTAGAGTGGCAGGGACCACAGCCGCTCATCCTGGGTCAGACAACTGCACTACTCACTCCACCAAGTCAATACAAATGAAATATAAAATAAATAATAATGCTACTTTTGTAAGTAGAAGACTAGTAGTAAAACAGGTTATTCTAGTGCACTTTTCAAGTGGCTACCTGAAAAATCTTGTCCATACAAAGAAAAGATGGGAAAAGGAGGTTCATTGTGGAATGGGATACACGCCTTGCAGCAGTGAAGTAGCTCATCTTAGTTATCAATAGCTACACTGTCTGAGAAGCTAATGAGGAGGCGTGCATAAGGCATGCAGGATGTATACTGAAGTTATGAGAGCAAGCAGCCCTCCCACTGTCCTTTAATTTACCTCTCAGCTTAACTCAATTTAATCTGATCCACTATCTGCTTAGGTCGTCTGAAGTTCACTTATAAGGACCCCCACTAATGGCACACATAGATCATCTGACAGCTGTCAATTTCAAAGTCAATGGAGTGACTTTTGATGAAAACCATGCAATGATAGATGGACTGCGCTAAGTAAGACCGTGACATGGTGATATGTCTTTCCCATCTATCCTCTGGCTTCCTGTTTATGTTAAGTTTTACTTCAGTCTTGAGTCGTCTAGACGTCATCTGATATGGATGTAAACAAGTGTTTCGAACTAATTTGTCATAACTAAGAATTAGATGCACAAGGGGGCTGTAAAGTGTAGCTGTATGGGAGTCAGGTGATGTGTTGGAGACCCCTGGCAGTATAGGAGGTTCATCGGGAGTTTAAAACATTTTTTAGTGTACCAAAAAGCATGTACTAATTTTGTTCGGAAATATAAAAAAAATAGTTTATAAATATCTACTCAAGCCAAGTTAACAAAAAGGGGTATTTGTGTCCTGATTAATTGTGGTCTGTTTAAATCTAAGCGATATTTTAATGACTTTATATACTTCATCTCTTGCAGATCACATTCAGTGACTGAATCAGGTCAATGCTAAGAGTTGTGTTTTGCAAACATGGCTGACAAAGATATTCGTGTACTGCTCTTGCCTGAAGCACTCTTGTGGATAAGAGCGAGTGACCAACTACAAACAACAGCATTAGCAAACTGTTCAAGTATTACACATGATACAACTTCAATATTAACAGAATTAGTTATGAGGAAAGTTTTTTTATTCAGATCTCATTGACATCTTTTCATATACGAACTGTCCACACAAATAGGTCTTTATTCTAAGACTGGAAGGTCATTCTTCCTCACTGTTTTGGGGGATTATCACTAATGACCCTTTAAATGGGCTTGTGCTGTAGTCAGAGTGGTTAAACCTGAGGAGGAAAACTGCAGATGGACAGAACAGAAAATGCACACTGGTTCAAAGGTCTCAAACAATAAGGGCACTATGGACTGTTTGGACTCACAGCTGGCAGAAACATAAAAGATTTCCAATTTTCAGCTTAATGGCCATCAACACTGGGACTTTGAGCACCTCTATTTGCTAATCTCTGCTCATTCCTTTTTGCAGAGTATTTGGCATATTCGGCACTGCCAATTTGGTATGGCTACAGTGAAGACAACTGTGACTGTGTGCAGAGTAACGGGTGTACTGCGGAGAGCACTGTTTGGCTGGTTGGCAGTTGTGCCCCTTAGTAAGAGCTTGGAAACCGCACACCCCGCTGCACCCTGACCCTCCCCTGACCCACGTGGTAATATGACTTTGATGGTGGCTTGTTTAACCTAACCTCAGCAACCTGAGGCTACCCACACACCGGGGTTAAGAGGGGAAATTCATAGGCAAGGAGAAAATTAAGTAAAAGGGGGTGCGTAAAGGAAGTTGGAAGGTAACAGTATTTGTCACAGCCGTGGCTAACAAGATACTGTTAACTTTAGCTGTGTTTTATTGAGTGAGTTCAAAACAATCGGCATACTACAAAGAATACGCGTAAATTCTGATCAAGTATATAGTTTAAAACAATTTAAAGTGTGCGCCATCAGTCTTTGGCTAATGTCCAAGTGAATACAGTGCTAAGAGGTAGGCAAGTTCACATTCCCCAAAACAAGATGCAAGTAAAACTCAAACCATATGCAATGCTGGCTAAAGTTAGTCAGCCATTCATAAAAAGGCCCAGAGCTATTATGGACAATGGGCATTTCAAAGCACATCAAATCCCCTCTTATTCCTGACCATTCTCTCCATTCTCCCCTCTCTGTTTGCCTCGGCCATCTCTAAGGCGGCCAAGATACACGAGAACAATGGTAAAGGGAGCGGAATGGCATACTTTGAATTCTGCTGGGCTCTGACTGACTTTATACGGCGTTACGACTATTAGGGCAAAGACTTTTAAAAACTAAGAAGCAGTAGCTGTTTATGGAAAAGTAGAAATGAGGAGAAAGCTAGTGGTGTTAATAGTAGAAAGGAGACACCTCTGGTCAATCCCAGCGCATTTCATGAGGGAATAAAAGTGAGGTCTTAGATTAATATGAGATCAGTGCAAATATTTTTGTAATCCAAGTGTGTGTTTGGCTTGTCCTCTGCCCTGAAGACTGATGTGGGTCTTTCACACTGAGAGGGGCCTATGTCAAAGTGCAGCATAGCCAGCCGACTGAAGGGCAGGACAGGCTACACCGTCCCGGGGCCTGTGAACTGAAGCGCCTCTGTGCCGCACTTTGGACGCAGACACCAACTGGGAAAAGAGTCAAACCGTGGTTGTGTTTTCAGACTCGTTTTGCCGATTTGTTTTACCCAAAATGCAAAAATGGATGCAAGATCTATGACAAAATTTCACAGGGAAAAAGCAAGCAGAGTGTAGGGGCGCGGAGACATCACTGAGTCTTTGTTCCCGCATGTTTATGACCCGAGAAGCCACAACATTGACTGGCCCATTCCCAATCTTATAATGGTACATCACAAAAGATCTGCACCATAAAAAAAAGTATTGCATTCGCCAATAGAGCTTTTGAGCAACCCTACATCAAATGAATGAACAACTTTAACTCTGTGTTTTGTGAAACTGGAATGGCTGATACACGGGTGTTTTTCATTTATTAGTACAGGTCATTTTACACTTCCCTCCATCCATATTGTGGATTCATTAATGTAGAATTATATCCCAAACAAAATGTATGCAGCTTCAAAGAGGAGTAACTGCGGGTGGTTGGTTGAGAATCACTATGGGGTTTCCAGACCCAATGACGGAAATTATTATAATACACAAGGTCATGGTTGTTTGGGAGGGAGAGGAGAGGAGCAGAGGCCCAGTGCCGGCAGAAGTATGTATTTAAGTGTTTATATCCTGAATGAACACCTTTAAATTGGGCTGTAAACCAAAAAGATCAAATTTTACAAGTGGAAAAGCATATTTACCCTTCAGTGGGGTGAGAGAAGGCAGCTTGAAGGTATGACACTAATTTATAGCGGGATATAACGCAAGGTAAGAGCTTCATAAAATGTAATGGGTTGTGTTCAACTTCTGAGTTGGCACATATTTAAAATCAACAGAGTAAGGCCTTTTGCTTAAGGTCGATTTAGAGTTATATATTTAGAAACGTTTATGGACGAGATGAATTTGAAAGAAAGTCATTGCATGTCAGAACAACCGTGTCCAAGTTGAAGTCAAATATTCTATCATTATCCCAGACACCTGATTTGAGCCAGTTAAGCCTGATTAATGATACAGGATTCTTTGTGCTCCCATTAGAAACGCATCATCAGTACAAAAGAAAGTTGCTCAGAGCACGGGTGGCTTTCACATATCAAATATATAACCCAGATAAATAATTCCCTGGACCACAAAAGAGAGTTGTGGCAAATTGCTTCAATAGGTTTCCACTGAGGTAATTGTCAAGAGCAAAGAGATTGACTTTTTCCCCCCCATAAAATCAGCAGAACAGTGGCAGCTAATAAAGGGAGAGCCTGTGAGGATGCCTGACAGCCAGCAAGAACAAGCTTAAAATGTTGGCCAGTCTTGAAACTTTAATGAATACTGACTTAGGAAGTGCATCTGGAATACCAAAGCTTTTTGTAAAGCTCTAAATTAACCACAAGAATTGGAAAAATATATATAAATCAGAGAGGTCTTACCCCACAAGCTTTGTGTGGTAGCATGTGATTACATCTTACAGTTCATGGAGTTCATGAAGGAATTCTATATGTTCTCTTTATCTACAGAAGTGCTCACTGGTATGGTTGAATACAAAACTAATGGTTATTGTTCATCAGTTAAATCTCACAGGGAACCAATTAGGCAGAACTCCGCAGGCAGAGGTGGATCTTCTTAGTCGGCAGTCCTCTGTAAAGTATAGTGCTGCTTCTGGCACTTGAAACTGAACACCCCTAAAATATGAAGCATGTGTAGGCATATTCTGTGGGCCGTAGACAAACATAGATCATGAGGAGCAGATTGCGTGACCCTGGATGCCGTAAACCCCTCCACCACACCAAAACGATACCACTCGTAAAAACTCCATTTGTCCGATTGCACCTGTGCGTGTATTTGGATATCACATTCACCATGTGTCACTCACTGGAGCACAGTCTGCAGACTTCACTGCAGACAGACACGTAACCAGTCATTTGTACACAGGAGCTTGTCTTTCAATCGCCTGTGGCATTGTGTGGTTTGCAAAGCATGTCTCAATGTCATTCGTAATTTAATTTCTCCAATCCTAACTGGAAAAAAATCTTGAGGCAAACATTTTATCTGCGAGTTGGAGAAACTGACCAGATTCCAATAAGCTTAGAGTAAATTCCAACCCTTTACATTTCCTCCAACAATTGAGGCAATTCATTAACAACCGTTGAAGAGACAGAGAAAGCAGACTTTAGTTGTTGTGTTGTGCAAAGTAGCACAATAAACATCAGCGCACACTTTGCACACAAGCTTTATTCAACTTGCCATCCAACCACTCCACAACCACACAACCAAGTCAAGCTGTTGAAACGCGGACGAACAGATCCAGGGGCTAGGGGGAGCACATGTCCAAGTCTCCAGCGCTCGGATCTTGTAGGTGCACACTCTACGTGCACGGCGCGCTGGCAGAACCTGAATGTGATCGTCCGCTCCAGGGGAGAGGGAAAGAAAAGAAGCAGAAGAGCTGAAACAAACGCATGCTGGCTTCTATTAGTCGAGCTGTTGAGTGCTATGGAGGGGCGCGCAAACGTATTCATTCCCCTGCCCACCCCGTCCCGTTCCTCCTGTCCCATTATCTCTGTTCGGGATAGGCGGCAGATGAAATAGGACAGCCCCCCCAGTGACGGCACTTCTGCCTCCAAACTTTACACCAAGGCTTTCTGATGGCTGCTTAATTGTACGTGATACAGGCCGGGTCTTTCTCTTTCAGAGCTAAAACAGATTGCTTCTCCCTGAGGAGGGGATTAATGGACAAGAGGGATGACAATGCAGGGACAGTGCACAGGCTACAGAGGGGGTAAATCTTGTACACGTTTCGCTTTTTCTCTTTGCAGCAAACTCAAGAAGATTATAGTGTCCATGTGCTTGAGACGCTGCACGTGTGTCACAACGGGATGCAGATCTAACCTCTAATCAAGTCTCTTCAAACAGAGCTCCACACTTTCCTCACACCTTCCTCACTCATCCCCCTTTTCTCTCAAAGCTTTCATGTCACCTTCCACTTGCCCTTTGTCCGTCTTGACCCAGCTCTCCCTTTCGGCCTCCTAAAGCTGTACTGCATCTACCACCACTGACATACGAACAAAAGCCTCTCCGGACATCCCAGGAAAAGCATTACAATCCTCTTTCTCTTATTTCGCCTTTAGCCGCTAACCCCACACTTTCTATCACTCCATTCATTCCTGGGCTAGTGCTACAAGGGCCTGGTCAGGGGTCAATCATGGTTGCTCCATAACTTAACCATCTCAAAACACATAAATCATATATATCTTTCATAAAATACACATTTTCTTCACAACTGGTCATCAAATCAGAGCACGAGACAATAGAAAAATACCAGGCTTGTTTCAAGACTGCGGAATGACCTTAAACCAAAACACTTGGGGGTGCTTTTGTGAGCTCGAAATACCAAAATAGAAGTGTGCAAAGTTACTGCCGGCATTCACATGTGCATGGTATATTTCCCCTGAGCCATATTCTCAAGAGTCAGAGAAAGGTCTGTGTTTGAACCAAGTGAAAGCATTGTTTGATCAACCCCAGCAACAAAGAACTTGAGAAAGTGGCTGACTCATCTAAAGATAGCCCTTCAGCGGGAACATGTTGCAATGGAACGTCTATCGTTTTAATACTGGTCATTTTCAGTGGATGGGGACATGCAATTCCTACCATGCAATCAGGCTTCAATACAGATCACTGTCATTAATGTGACGAGATAAACCACAGATCAAGGAGAGGGATCCTGAGGAAGTATTTTCTTAACACAAAACAGGAACATGCGCTTCATGGTTGCTTTGTATGTAGTAAATAGCTACTTTTGATTTGATGCAGCCTTTAATCATTTGCAACAACCTTTATCAATAGATTTCCCTTTGGTGTAGTACTACTCATCACAAGGCACAAAAAATAGGTTTGGGACATAGGGCAAAACTTTTGCCCCCTTGTGGATAGATTCTGAAAACTGTAAAACTAAAAATTCACAAACAAAATGTCATACAAAAGGTATTAAAATTGGACTCTTCTCAGTTTCCAGTGAAAGGTATCACCCCGACTAAAAGCTGCACTCAGACCTTCCAGGGCCCGTATAAAATCAATGAGGAACAAATGTGCAGTGCTACATGTGTCATAACATGTTGATTTAGGGCTTCATGCATTTTTTGTGATTGTCCGACGTCAATGCCTCTGTCTGTTTTCATCAGTCGGCATGTATGAAGTCATGCAAGATTGTCTGGGAATCTCTGAATCACTTTGGCTGGCAACCGAAACCTCACACACGCATATCCGAGCTGAAATAAAAAGTACTAGCCGCAGTCACTCCGTGCCTTATCACAAAACGGGATTCCAACTTTAATGCGTTCCCACATGCACAACACATAGATTCAGATGATGGCAAAGCTGCTACTGGAACAACGTTTGTCTTGGCAAGCAGCTACCACTCAAACCTAATTATTTGCAGCAGCTGCTCTTGGTCTTGTTTGTAGCAGAGACGCAAAACATGTTTAAAAGGATCTGCTCTCTTTCTCTTGTGAGCTGGCGAGTGTGTGCTGCATTTAAAACATCCCCAAACGCTGCTTAGCTCCGCTCGTGGTAAGGTAATCACAAATTGAATCTATACGCCGCAGGGCACAGTTTAACTGAAGGAGTGATTTATGGTGCGGGCTGGTCGATACTGAAACACTGCGGGTTTCTCTGGATTACTTCACTTTTGTTAATGAACTGAATAATTGCGTGTTTGTTTTTTCATACAACTAAGTGGGACTGGTAATTAGCTAAAAAACAAGAGTCCTGTAAAGCTGCAGAATGTCACTGAACTTCATATACAAAGAAAATTACGCAAAGATGTTTTAACTGCATTTCTAGGTCAGTCTGCTCTGAAGACATACAGGCTCCTGTCCTCATATCATCAAATCACATCTGAACATTTTCACCAGACCTTAAGACACAGTCACACTTATCTACTGATGATTTGTATCTAGCAGGAACTGAAGCTAAGACCAAGGCAGCCAAAGGCAGCACAGGACACAACAGCAGCTTTCACCTTTGCGACCAAGCTCTCCTCGGAGCCAGGCTGATGTCCACACAACCTTCACAGCTGCACAATCTCCATTGGCAAACACCTCACTCTCTAAAAACACACATACTAAGTGCCCAGAGCTGGTTAAAAAGACTATACATCATATACACCTTAAATAGCTCAAGTGAGGTGGGCATTCCCAAAGTCATGACTTTTTGACATTTGGTTTGGAAAGCTCTCTTCAGCAGCTCATCTATCCAGTGTATGCTGACAAGATCTGTCACAAGTGTTTTTGGAAGAAGATTTATGAAAACTTATTTGGACTGGTTGACTGAAATAATTTTTACAAGCTATAAAAATGTTTGTAGATAGATTTCAAATTGGCAGAGCAGGCATGAAAATCTAACAGCTTTGAATAGGGAACATTAATATTAGCGTGTTTTCTCCAGATATATGCACCAGTTATGGTCCAAAGACATAATTAGAACTCAAAATTTAACAGGTGAGGTCTTGCACATTAGGGTAAAACATGACATTAATGGAATGCACTGCCTTCTAATCCCCCGAGACGGAGGAATTTGCGACTAGAGGGAATTCCTGTCATTCAGAGGGAAACTATGAAGTGTTTGCACACACAGGACGCTGCTGTACTGAGCCAAAGTAGAAACAAGGTACAAATCCATACTTATACTACAGACTGCCATAACTCACTAAAAGCTCAACAAGTTAAAAATGTGTCTAAAAAATTAAAAAAGCAAGGAAAATTGTGACAAAAGTCGTACCTGGAGGCAAAGGGAGCAGAATTGATTCCAAGTGAGAGTCCTCGTCCGCGTGTTGCTTCTTTGCCGGGTCCTGCTCTGCTCATAGAGAGAGTGAGTGGGGAGCGCTTCAGTTTTTAGGGCTCAAGACTCGCATTGGAGGAGGAGGGGAGGGCACGACCACACAGCTCCTGGGAGACAACCTCTCTCCTCTAATCCCCTCTCCAATGTGATGACACTCTCCAACCTCCACCATCTGTTGAAACACGTCCCGGAACAGTCGGCAGCACCACTACCGAGCCACCACCAGTGCTGCCGCTGAGTCAAGGAGCCCAGCGCGTCCCGACCAATCACGGCGAGGCTGCAGGGTGGAGAGGCAGGGACAACAAGGACACGGGAGGGAGACACACATTCGCAAAACACTCCCGTGCAAGAGGCTGGAGAGTGAGGCAGGAGAAAACCCCCCTAGTCATCGTAACCCGAGAGGCAGAGGAGGAGGAGAGAGTGAGCACAAGGGAGAAAGGGTGGCCAACGCACTGTCAGAGATAAGACTGCTACTACATTTCTATGCACAGAGGAAACAGATCGCAAATGGCTGTTTCTAATTGACAAAAAATAACTGTGCATCTATGCTCAGACTGCTGCCTCTGTGACCCGGCCCTGAATAAAGCAGAATATAATGGTTGGACAGATTGTAGCATTCCATAATAATTGTGCTAAAACCGGTTTCTCCAATGTCCGACTTATTTACCTTTTTTAAAAATTCTAGCCAATCAATGATCTTGTCAAGTTACAGGTTTCCATAATAATATATTGAGAAGTAGTATTTTTTGTTTCTGTATATGTATTTTCTAGGAATCCACCAATCCAGCCGTTTCAGTCACAAAATTATAATTTTGTGCCATGAAATTCAATTAACCAAAACTGTAGATCTCGTCATTAGTAATTTTATTTGTACTTCAAGTATCTTCAGAACAGATTTGGGTAGATATAATTTTTCATTCTGAGACATTCATGGAAAAACATGAAAACAATTTTAAGCCCAAACAGCTAAAGAAATTATGAAGCCAAACATTTTCTGGAGCCACCTTATTCTATTTTAGATTACCTTTTTGTTGGAAACTTTCTTACTGTACTCCAACTGAAGGACTTTCAGGTTTACATGAGTCTTACCAAAAGACAATAATAACAATGTATAATGTAATGTAATGCTTGTATAGAAAATGTTACATTGTGACATTACACAATTCACGTAAAAGCTTTAAAGACACACTTTAACTTCTCCACCACTTGTGACTCTTCTTCCCCTGCAGCTACGGAGTATGTGGTCCCGCGGAATCAAGCTGAGGCAGCAATAAAAGGCCGCACTGGCTCCATGGTGGGACTGCTGTTGGCACTAAACTGTTAGATCTGCAAAGCACAGGAGCAGAAGCAGCACCCCTCGCACCTATGCGTGATAAATCCTTACAGTCCCACGGCCACATTCCTGGCCCTCACCACCTATTGCCTTAAGTGAAAGAAGGAGGGCAGAGGGGAAGACACTAAAATTACAAAGCTACAGCAAAAGAAAGAAGTTGAGATAAGGGGAGATTGGGTTTACAGCCAGAGAAACTGCTGATTTTAGTGTATTCAACGGGAAACACATAAATCATTTTGTTGTCCAACTCGCTAAGCTGTTCAAAAAGGATTACGAGACCTCAACTTCAAAAGCTGGCACTAATGAGTTAATGCTTGTTTGATATCCCACAAAGGGTTAATCAGAGGTGTGAAGCGGCCTGAGAGAGATCATTTACATATTAGAAGAAGCGCCAACAGCTCTTTGATGCCTGCTTGCATATTAGTTTGATGAAGGACATAGGTGTGAATGGGCCGTCACGTGAAACTTGCCCTCCCAGAGTTAAGAACTTACAGTCTGGTATCACTTACAAATCTCATTACGTTGCACAAACACGCAAATATCAGCAGTGTTCCCATCTGATTTCCCCTAGGTTCACTTACAAGGATATTGGATTAAACTAGATAAAACCTATTTTCTCTAAAGATGTGAAACTCTCCCGAGCCAGGCCCAATGTTTGTTAGATGGGCAGTGGAGAAGGAGAGAAGGGTCTTTGGGGGGAACAGAGCTCAAATTAGATTAACTAAATTCACAAAGAGTGGCCCAAACCAGCCTCTCCACACACACACCAGACCCCCCCTCATTCTCACGGCCGAGAGGTTTCCAAAAGGGCCTTTGGGCGGGCCAGGGGCTACCAATGCCGGCGCTCTTTACTGGATTAAAGGACTGCCACCCCACTGAGGAGTAGCACTGTTTTTGCAAGAGCTGAGCACATCTGTAAACAACAGAAATCCAACATGCAGGGAACAACAAGATGGAAAAATAAGTTACAAGAAAGTAGCATTCAACATATTATGCAAAAGACTACTTTTAAGAAGTGGCTTTTTTACTTCCAGTGGCACAAAAGCAGCAATGGAGAGAGGTCTTCTAAACCTCCCTGATTTTATGAATGACTGACTGACCTGTAGGGGGTCAGAGCAGAGCCGTATTCAATCCTGCGAAAGAATGTACCAAGAATTTATAATGGAACACAGCATTATAAATACGAGTCCAATTTGGGCCCACTTTGGATTATCCAATGTTGTCCTGTTCAAAAAACCTGGCTCAGTCTGACGTTGGCCTGGTGTGCAGGTGCAACAGGGGCCAGTGATGGGGGGCCGCTCGGTTGACTAACCTCATTCTCCATGGCTAAATGAGATACACGGGGGTGTCATAGCTGTGATCCAGCCTCTGTGTCAGTATGAAGGGAGCGGAAGCAACAGATTACAGCCAGAATATGAATGAAAGCAGATTATATTGTAACTGAAAGAATATTCTTTTGGGGATAAATGGAATTCAGAAGCTATGAATCAATTTTGACAAGACAAACAACCACAGCAATGGCTCCAGAATGATTACAATGAAAAGTTTTTCTTCATGGCTTTGACAAAAGACTGACAGTAACAAAAAATAACAACGTTACAGTTTTGTGTGTATCTCGTAATAAAAGTGTTACAAGAGGATCAGGCAATAATCAACTGGAGGAATGCTAACTTTTTGAAAAATGCGAATGAAGCGTTTACCATTTTACTTTAGACTAGAGCAGAGAAAATGGTCCAAACCAAGCGGCCACACCACCTCTGGTGCTGTGACCTAAAGTGCTGTTGCATTTTAATACTATTATTAGTATGAGGATTAGATAGCTATATGACCTACCAGGTGGACAAGATCCCATTTTGTCTGATTCTCAACATTAGCCATTTTTAGAATTATGTATTTATTTGTTTAAATGCATGTGTTTCTGCTTCTACCAGACACCTGAATTTCTCCTACGGGGATCAATAAAGTATCTTTATATGATGTAGAACACACTTTCTTTCTACAGTGCATATATAGAAGTTTAATAAAGTAGGACTGTTAAAATGATAACAACACATGGACTTTGCCCCAAATAATCACCCTTGATACCATGATCTTGTCGGGTTCAATCCAAAGTTGAGAAATGAGTGGCCAGAAGCAAAGGAATGAAAGGCAAAGACAGATTGGAAAAACAGGAGATGGGGACATACAGTAGGGAGTAGGGAAAAGGAGCTGCAAGGGTAAAGAAAAAAATAACAGGCCCTGTAGGGCAGGGTGAGGGGGCGGCAGCTGAACTTACAGGACATGCGTGTGGTGCATGTCACAGACTGGCCTCCTGCTGGTCCATGCATACAAGCCTGCCCAACACGCAAAATCACCTCACGCACACACGCTTGAACTCATCTGTCACAATAAGACTGATAATCAATCACTGATCGACTGTAACTGACATGTTTACAGCGTTGGGGTTATCTGTGCCAGACTCCAGCTTGAATAGTTAAAGAGCGACTACACACCAAATCAACTTTTTTTAACTCATAAACTGCATAAATATGTTTATTGTAGTGCTGTCTACATATCATGGTCATTTTTTTGACATTCTAGTTCAAATTAGATAAAATATCACTTTTGAGCCAAAAAACGCTGTGTGGTGCCCTCTCAACCTTTTTGGTGGTACTACATTTGAATTTGGTTCTGGCCTCTCCATTGACTCTGAAGTTCTCTATGACATCAGTTGTTTTGTGTGACGTCAGTCTGTCAGAGCCAGTGATGTGAACCCATTCAACTCTCACACACGCCCCAGCTGCAGTTGAGTATTCTGGCGCCATCTAGTGGATTTAAATTAAATTACATGAGTCATTCTGAGATTATTGAGTGTGATTAGGTTCAGATGTGTAGCTTTACAATTATCTCAGTGTGTAAACAAGGGTGGAATGAGACTTTCTGGTATGTCAACTATTGCTTTAAGCAGCAATGACAACTGTCTGTTTTTTTTTGTGTGTGTGACAAGTGAGCTGTCAATCACAGCCCAGACCACGCCCAACTCTAAGCCCCCCTTCTTGTGCCTTGGTCCTCCAGGCAACGCCCTTTTTAGAGAAAATTTTCAAATCTTCATGTGGGTGGAGTAAGGCTGGGCACAGGTGTTTAGTCGCTCTTTAATAAAACAATTATTGCTGAAGTCTGACACTCTTAAGGGTAAAATACACCTTGTTAGTATATCGATGCTCAGCTCTGCCATAATCTAAGTTGGTAAGTACTCTGACTTTGAATTGGTAAGTCTGAAGTCTGAAGTCTGATAAAGGGGGAAATGACCAGAGCTCTTTTACTACAAATCTTGGCCTTTACTTTGGCAAATATGCTAAATAGTATATGTTTATGGTTTAATATCGTTATCTATCAAGGTCTGCTTGATGAGAGTTTGACAATAGGGTTGCATATTATCAGTTAACACTAGTGATAAAGCAGTAACAAAAATGTCCTAATGACCTTGTAGTTACATGTTTTTGTCTTAATTTGTAGATTGCAAGTGATACAGCAAACTGTTTCATTATGACGAGCTTTTGATGAAAGCTAGTGTGAAGTGGTTCACCTCTAGAGCTGCATACAAAGGCAATACGCTCACACATAATGAAGTTATTAGCAAGAACCCGAGATCAACTGCTAGCTAATGGTGATAGGATTTAGAGGCCTGTTAATAATGACATACAACAACACAGCAGAGCCAGGAGCCAGATGTGCTTTCACTTCAAGAGCGGAGTGAGGTGCTGATCAAAATACAGATGAATGTGTGAGGGGAAACTACTGAGAACCAACAGGCCACATAATAAGGGAAGTGTGAGTATGAACAAATGGCAGAGAAGCTCCACTACTATTCTAACATTCATTCATTCATTTTCTACCCCTTTATTCGTCCATTTCTGACTATTCTAACAAAGGTCGGATAAATTATTTTGTACTATAATAATTGTTTGTGTTCAAGGGTGAAACTGCTTCAATTCTGCCTTTGGCTCCCGTCAACATTCATAACAAAATCAATCTTACACAGCAGTGTAACAAAATCAATCTTACGCAGTAACTCACCTCTCTGGGTTAAACATCTTTTTACATTTTACCATTTTGCATGATTTTGGCATTCATATACATGTTATTTTCTTTGTATATAAAGATCAGGAATGGACCAGCCTCCCGCCTGATGACTTCTGTAAAAGAACCAGACAGAGGCAGCAATCTCACAAACTTTTAACCTGCCAGTTTATTTCCCAGTATTTTCAGATGGAAGAGGACGGAACCCTTTATATGTCGTGCAGCCATGTGAATCAGAATAAAGGCGCCAATTCTTGAGATATTAATACTTAAAGCTGCGTTATAACTCACTTTTCGAATGCGAGCGCGGGCCTCGCTCTTTCTGCTCGCCATCCCCGCACTAACGGAGCTTTGAATCCAATTCCTTGAATATTTTTCACGTTTGTCCTAAGTCCAAACATGGAGGCCAGACTCCACGCCTTTTAGGTTGCTAGGAGAGATTCTGCTTCAGGAGACGTCACTCACTATGACCTATTCTGCGGCCCATGGTTGAGACCTTCAGAAACCCATCTATCATGAGCTTCAGAGAGGCAAATAAATGTACATTCATAAATATTGATACAAATTCCTATGGGAAATTTACTGAAGTTGAAGGACAAAGGCTGCTTTACATTTTCAACCAAAATAATATTTTCTATACAAAAATTCATCTCTGTTCACACAACCAACATATAAACCCCCTCCCACAGCATCTTGGACTGCCGTGCATTTGAAAACAAGAATCAACGTGTGCGGGCTCTTGCACAAACTGTACATGGGATGACTTATCAGACACTCTTATCTCCTAAACTTCAGGCATCTGTTTTACACATAGTAATTTGCTCATTTGGTTAACAAAAGCACAGTTGTGCTGTGTGATGAGACAAAGGATAGTCAAATGTTATCAAATGTATATGGAATAGTCTTCATGTATTGATCACAGAGACCACCAAAAGAGCTATAATAAAGCTGGAATCAAATTTTCCAAGAATTTCTGCAAAAGTGAAGGGATCTAATAGTGAGTGAAACCAGTGCATTTTCATGATCAGGAGAATTTGATTCAGAAGAGCCCGGAGGTCCAGTTGAGGCTGGGAACCTACTGAAGACAAACAGACGCAAGATACTGGAGATTTAAGAGATTAACCATAATGACTGGGAATCCGATGGAAACTATTAAAGAAGGATTTGGACACACTGCAAAGGAACATCTCCCGCACAAGAATAGCCTGAGTAAAAGAGGTAAAAGTGGTACATCATCCTAAATCTCCTTAGAAGGAAATTATTTTATATATATACATTTATTTATTAGGCCTTCTAAGGAGATGTATACATCTCCAAGATTTATAAATCTCCAAATGATTCAATTGTACTGGTGAAAAAATTACATTAGGAGAATGAGCACAGAGTGGACTCCTGTGGACTCAGCACCTGCAGGAGGATCAGTGAGGGGCTGGTGCTCTGTGTACTGGGTGCAGCTCTGACTGCCGCCCCCACCGACCCAGAAATGGATTAAGGGGAAGAAAATGGATGGATAGTGTGTTGGTTTTTACTTTAATGTTACATAAACATAGGACACTAATAGGCCACAGAGTTCACTCCATGTTTGATGTTTGACAGGTCAATTAAAAAAAGATGAAAACACTAAAAGTTGTGTATTATAATTTGCGGCTCCAGAATATAAACTTTAGGGTGCAGGCTGTCTGATAACCTTAAAAAGGCATATGCCAATGGTGGCACATTTAAGGAACTAGGCTTAACATGGGGCAGAAAGGCCATTTAATAATCCTTCCCTTGAGCCATATTAGAATTGTCCAAGAAAGTGCTTGCACAACACATATCCATACAGAAGTGGGCCTCTATGAAGCAATGTAAGGTGAATATTATGCTCTATTTAACAGCCACCATGCACAGGCAACTTAGTCATTTATCATTGTGACCACAAGGATAACTAAACTCACTTAAGGTCATTTCAATACAAACATCAGAAATGGTAGCGATAAGACCAATGACCGCTCTTAGCACATGGCCAAGGTTTTGGGTTAGTGTCTGTTGTGTTCAAACAAGCACTGCGGCACTGTCGGATACAGGTGGGAAATAATAATTATCGTAGGCGATGATATCGTGAAAGTAACTAACAATAAGCTTTTTCACAGAGATATTGGCTCCATTTCACTTTTGCCCGTTTGCCTTCTCTCTGCTGCGTTCGCCCTCGTCTCCTTCTGCCCCCGTCGGCCCGTCCCCTCACGTGTGTCAGCACGGTCAGCACTAGATCATATACGGAATCGGGACGGAAGCGGAAGTAAATATAACAAAATACCTATTCATGCCTAAACTTAACCATGTTATTCATGCATAAAATAACCCCAACCCACCCTTAACCCTAACCTTAACCATCTTAGACGACTAAAACTTAACCAAGTAGGATTGTTACTTCCGGTTTCGTCCCGATTCCGTATATGATCTAGTGCCGACCGTGTCAGCACGGCAGAGGCGCTGCTTAGCTAGCAGCGGAGACGTGCCCGAAGGAAACAAACTTGTCTAAAAAACGTGGAGTGTAGATGATGACAGAAGTGCAGGTTGTGTAGCGTCAGAGTATGTATTTCATACAGCGGTGGACATGACTAGAGCCCTGCACTTGAGCCCTTGGCCCGGGGACCGGGCTTCGGGCCGATGACCATAGAATTACCTCGGACACGGGTCGGGTTCGGGCACTTTTATGGATTCATTACGTTTACGTTACGCAGATTAAATTTACGAACGCACCCACTGAATATATTGTTCTATCACTCTGTAGTATTTGTTGTTCTGTATAGTATTGTCATTGACGACACATAGCGTTACCTTCAAGTGTGTTGTAGATTGCAGCATCTTGCTATCATACAGCTGCGGCCGTTCACTCTAGCCGTACACACAGAACCACTACCATGTATAACTCCGCCCTCTAGCCGGGCCTGTGTTCATATCAGTGCGCTGCACTATGTACTACGCTAAAACATTGTTATGGGAGGTAAAAAAAAATACAAAAAAGTCAGGCTTGATACGGGTTTCGAGCCTGAGAATTCAGAAACCATGTCGGGCCAAGCCGGGCTGGGGCGCCACCCCCTCGGGCCAGGGCCGGGCTTGGGCCCAGATAATAGGCCCGTGCAGGGCTCTGGACATGACCCCTTGTCGTCATTGAAGAACGTGGCTTTACACCAGAGACTTTACATGCAGCTAAAAACTAAACGTAAGGTTACTTAACACAACCCCGGTTCTTT